TTCGCAAAAAGCAGACAAATAGGGATATTTGGAGCTGAAAATCTCAACCTTAAAAAAGGGAAGTCAACAAAGACATTTTAAAATGCTTAGTTTTATATTTTATATATATATAAATGTGTGTGCATGCATGTATATATGCTCATGCACAAATATGTACACATTTATACACTCACAATGGCGCACATGCACTCGCCAGCATGATGTTCTTTAGCTATGGATAAGTGAACTAGAGTAAGAGAAAGGGCCCATTCCCTTCCCACAGCAAGGTGGCATAGGAAGCAGATACTTTAGCTACAGAGAAGGAGTTATAAAGATGGGGTGAGTAGCTCTGGAGGGGAGTATGCCTCTGCTCTCTATGCCCACCAGGCTGTGCTATGGGGCAGATCTTGCTATCCCCCTCACTCTGCTCTCCCTGGTGCCGGGGGTGGGGGAGCGGGGGGGGGGTGTTCCTCATTTGGGCATTGTTCCTCCAGACAGCACACGCACACACACACACACGTCAGACCCACCTGCTTGACCTCAGGAGCACTCAGCAGAGGCATCCCTGAGCCCCTTTGCATGAGTCATTAGTAATACTGTAGGATGGCTTTCATTACAGAATGCTACTCTTCTTGATTTTAAAACACACTTTAACCGTTGCCTAGTGAGGAAATGTTGTCAGCCAGTCGTCTTCTGAGAAAGCAACAAGTTCACCATTGCCCCCTGGCAAATGTTTTGTTTTTTTTCATTAACAACCAATTATGAATGAGCTCATTTATCAAAGTACAGAAAACATTTCTTATGGAAACATTCAGCAATTAGCTAAGAGAATACCAGTTTTTCCCCCTTGTGACTGGGTGTAATGTCCTGACAGAACTGACTTCTACAATGTTAGATGTGGGAATCCAGGCAGCCATTTTAGAAGCCTGGAACAAAAAAACTTCTTTAGCTATATATAATGCTCAAAAGAGCTGTTTAAAACTAAAGCAAAGTGGCCATCTTGGATTTCTTCTGTGAGACGAGAGAATTCAAGCAATTGCTTAAGGGGAGTCGCATCTTACGCGGGAGTTAGGTTCTAAAGTCAGCATGTAAGGCGAAAATCACGTATAGTCAAACGCTCATTGAGTGGAATGGCGGGCGGAATCGCCCGCACTACAGGTACAGTATTTAAATTGTTATTTTTCTCTTTTTTGTTTTGTTTTGCCGAGTCCATATAGTTAAAATCGCATACGTTAAATGCGCCTATGATGCGACTCCACTGTACTTTTTTGTTTTATTTTGGGGATTTTGCGAGGTAGTGCTCAGGTAGCTTTAAATTCAGCCAACAAGATGCCTAAGTGGGGAGGGCCGGGGATGAAAGTAGGCAAATCTAACAGACAATGGACAGAGCAATGCACAGTAACAGAAGTTGAACATCCCTGATGCTGTGACATTCCTGATGCTCAGGCATAGGTTTCACTAGGAAAAGTAAAACTGGGGAGAAAAGGAGCTACTGAGCTGGGAGAGGTGGAGGTAATAACCAGCTCATGAAATGATATAGCTATCTGTAAATAATAATTTAAGACTCAGAAAAATTTAACTTCCACCCTGAAATAACACATCAAGAATGCCCCTGTCCAGATAGTAGCCCCAGTACCATGTTCATGGTAGCTCAAATAATAATCTGAAAATTCTCACTCCTCCTTAAGCAGAGAAGCATCCCACATCAACATCTTTCCAACTAGGGCTTATCATGGCCCAAAGAGGAGAGGGCTTCCCTCCCTTAGCCACCTTGTTCGCTCGGTTCATCTGGCCTCTCAACTGTTCTTAGCCAATAAGAGAAGTAATATCTGCCACCAGATGAGAACAGCTGATTGGTATGAAGAGACTGGGAGCTCCTGCTCAACCACAAGGAAGCGCTCTTCTGCAGGGCACAGGAACACTACTGATACTCTGACCAGGATCTCACTTGACTTGGAAATTTGCCAGGCACCTAAGACACTTAGGTCCTTGATCAATGCTATTATTAGTGCTTAAAGTCCTAATGAAAGATGTTAACAATAATAAGAGTTTTTGCCTCAATAACCCCATGGCCACTACAAAAAAAACACATTATGTTTGCCTTAATGTTTATGTTTGATAAATGCTTCCAGTTTGCATCTGCCTTTATCTGTAATCAGTAAAGTTCGTGATTGCAGGAAAAACTTGCATTGTATCAGTGCCGTCACTTAAAAAAAGAATACAACTGTGCTTGAATCCTGCTTTACTGTGAGCCCAAGGGGATTCAGATGTAAATCTGTAATGTTACTGTTGAATCAAAATCATCTGCTCCAGCCTTTGTAGCTTCCTGCAACATCTGATGACTTGTGGACAGTTCTGAAATATATTCTATTTAATATAATATATTCAATTCTGTTTGATGCTATTTGCTTGCAACAATGGGATTTGAGACCAAGCTCTTCCGCACTAAGAGCATGAGTTTCTGCACCACTTGAGCTAAAGGGTGAAGGTAATTTTTTCAAAAGTCCAATTTTCAGAAGTGACTTGGGCACTAGGCATCTAAGACCTATTGACTTTCAGTGAAATGTAGGCTCCTATGAAAAACACAAAGAGCAGCAAAGGCAGGATTCAGGTGGTAGCTCCTCATTCAACCAGCCCAGAAGATTTTGGTTCCTTCCTACAAACCCCATCCTCTGAAGTTAGCAGCACAGCCTGCAAGTGACACTGTGTACCTGAAAAACAGTGCACTGCTTTGTGTATTAGAACAGACAAGAGGGAAGCAGGAAGAGAGGAACTTCATGGCTGACAGAGGGGAGAGACTGGGGTGGTAGTAAGGGAGGGGAAGGGAGTAAGACATCTGGAGAGGATAGGGAAAGAAAGAAGAGTTTGTGGAGGAGATTGGGGGGGCGGGAAAGGGAGGTGGACAGATGGAGGCAGGAAGACTAGAGGCATAAGAGGGAATGAAATGGGGAGGGACCAGTCATAGGAGGAATGCAGATGAGAAAGAGACCAGGAGTGTCAGTCAATAGAAGGCAGGGCGTCTGAGAGGAGAAGGCATGGGAATGGAGGGGAGTGAGAAAGCAGAAGGAATATGGGGTAGAAAGAAACTATGGAGACAAGAATAAGAGGGAGGAAGACGGACATCAAGGAAGATGGAGGGAGCAGTGAGAATGAATTATGGGCAGGGCCGGTTCCAAGTTTTTTGCCGCCCCAAGCAAAAAAATTTTCCCGCGCCCCCTGGCCCCGCCCCAACTCCGCCCCTTCCCCGCCCCATTCCAACTCCTTCCCTAAATCCCCAGCCCTGCCTCCTCCCCCGGGCGCGCCGCATTTCCTCTCCTAGCCCTCCCTCCCTGGCAGAGAAGTGGAGCGGCGGCGCACTCGGGGGAGGAGGCGGAGTTGAGCTGGGGGGGAACGGTTCCTCTGCCCCCCCAGGGTTACTTCCTGTGGCCCTCCCTGCGCCCCCCACGGCTGCAGCTCACCTCCGCTCAGGGCCAGCTCCTGGCTTTTTGTGTCCCAAGCAAAAAAAAAATGGAGCCGGAGTGCCGCCCCTTGGAAAGTGCCGCCCCAAGCACGTGCTTGGAGCGCTGGTGCCTAGAGCCGGCCCTGACTATGGGAGTGGCAAAAATGCATGGGAGGGAAAGAGAAACTCCAGACAGGAACTGGAGGGAGGAGAGACAGATCAAGGTGCGTGGGCAGTAATGGAGAACAGAGAGTACACTGGGATGCAAGCCAGGATGTAGAGGTTTGGAGGAAAGAGAGAGGGCAGATGGGGTAGGGATAGAAGTTGACATAAACTCTGGCTCAGTCTTGTACTCTATGAGTAGAACCACTGAGACATTTGATGCTATTCTAAGTTGCCCATGTGACATCAGTGGTACTTCAAGGGCACACCTATGAAATATATGTTTAAAAATATATCTGGAGTTCTTATAAAATCTATTGAGAAAGTAGCATAAGAGGGTGATGAATACTGGTAAAGTTATGTATACACACACACTTTTTATATTGATTAAAATTTAAAATGGTTATGTGGGGTTAGTTTGGATTTGTGAAAAATGTAGCGCTAAATAAGTACGGAAAGTTGTTATTGAAAATAGGGGATCCAAGGCAAAAGCAGACAAGCTTTTGCTGTAACAATACTTGAGGGCAACCATTACAGAAAATAAATAAAATGAAATACCTTAGGTCACTGTCAGGGATGTCCAGGTGGGTTTTCTATGTTGTTGACAGAATATTATGACTAAAGCTATGTGCATAATTTGTAACCAAGAATCTCTTCAGATACTACAATTACAGGGACTGTATCAGTACACAGACAGATAATTAACTTCTTTTTGTATTTGTGAAATGACTTGGTCTTGGAAAGACTGTGAACGACCTGAACAGTTTTTAAAGCAAGAAACTCCATTTTTAAAGCAAAAATGTTCCTTGTTTTTTCCATAGATAAACTTTCCTGGAACTAAAGAAAGTTTCACTTATTTGCTATAGTGAACATGGATATTCATTTTAAAAGCTCTCCCGAACCCAACCTGCCAAGTGCGTTAAACCAGTCTGTGGACTGTACGTCATTTTCAATGTGTGTGGAGACTAGAGAGTTTTTTCTTTTTACTGTAGATCTTTGTGTATGCATGTGTGCGCACGTGCACTAAAGTGAATAGTTTAACACTTTGGACCCATTCGCCTATTTATTGGTGCTGTGGCGCTCTATTGCAGATTATACAATCATTCTGCCCGGGGGACCTGATCCAAAGGCTACTGAAGTCAATAGACTCTGAATGATTTCAGTTGGCTTTGGATCAGGCCCATAGAGCTTCCATTGATGTCAGTGGGATTATCACCTGGAGATCTAGTGCAGACTGTGCATTTCCCAAAGCAGATCTCTAGGGTGGTTGGAGGAGAGGAGAATTTGGCCCTTGTCATTAATGAGACATGTTTAAAATAAAACCTCCAGGTTTCAGTTTCATTTTCAAAATCCCATTTGAAGTATTATTGAGCATTGGTGGTTGCTACACATCTTACATTTTCTTTCATTCCTTTTCCAGTTATAGGGGCATGTACACATCTTGGGCAAGTGTACGCTGACAGGGATGTTTGGAAACCAGAACCATGCCAAATCTGTGTGTGCGACTCAGGATCTGTTCTCTGTGATGACATCATCTGTGATGATCAAGATATAGCAGACTGTCCCAACCCAGAGATTCCATTTGGAGAGTGTTGCCCTGTTTGTCCACGGGTAACAACAACTCGTGAACCTGTAAGTGTAATCTGTTTCTTTGAGACATGAATTGTCCTTGATCCACATTTACCCAAATCATTTGTCCATCCATCCATACTTATGTATTTTAAGTACTCTTTATTCAGCGTAAAGCCTTTAATATCTAATAACTGTTAAGGATGGGCAAACCACTTTGGATGAAATCAGAACTAACCTAAACCTTCACTAAAACTTAACCAACCCTTTAATAAAGTTCAAAAATCCTTTCTCCCCGTTACTTTTCCTTTTCTTGCATCTCTGTATTTCCTGATCCTAGCAGAGGATTGGAACCAGAAATGATGATAAAATACAGTGGAAATGTTGTTCTTGCCATATATTCCATCCACTGAAAGCAAGAAGTTCCAGTAACCTCATAAGAAGGTTTTTCTCACAAGAATTCTTGCTTAATTTTACAAACGCAGAAGGTTCTGATCAGAGGCAACCCATGCCTGCCAATAGTGGGGGGGAAGGGGCGGAGTGAGGGCAGCCAGCTTCAGCAGTGTTACGAGTATGCTCAGTCCATGTGAGTATGCTCAGTACAAGCTAAGCAGCAAATCTGGGGTGGAGGGGCTGACCCTGCCCACCCCCCCTCCCACAAATCTAGTTCAGATCAACTTCAGAGAAGGAATGAAATGGTAGGTGCTTATTAGTAATAAAGCAGAGCCACAAAATTTGGGCTGTAACTTTCCCAAAGTTCAGTGTTGTTAGGATCCAGAGTTCAGGTTCAACACGTTCTAATAACACTTGCCAGCCACAAAGCTCAGATCCAGATCCAGATCTAGATCCAGACTGAAATCTTCACAGCGAGTGGTGATGTTCAGATGCAGGGCTTTGATTCAGGCCCATTTCTCTGTCACTCATATCAAACAAAACTTCAGAATCTTTTGAGAGTCAACCACCAATACTCTGATGCACAGAAGTTCTGCAAACAACCTATTTCTGACATAATGCTCAGTTTACATGCATGAAATCAAACAAAGCCTAAGTGTGCAAACTAACTAAACTAAGCACTATTTATAGCACCATGTAAATATTGTAGGCCTAATTTGCTTCTCACACCAATCTTACATGATTGTACAGTAACTCCATTTTCTTTAGTGCTGCTGTTACTGATTTACTAGTGTAAATGAGAGGTCAGTCATTTAACTTATTTAACTTATCATGAACCCATGTTTAGAAGACAACATTATTTAAAAGCAGAAACAACAACAGTTTAATCAGCTTGAGCTGATAAATTTAATAGTTTTGCAGGTTTTTATTACAATCAGTAATAATTGTGTAGAGCCTCATCCTAAATTTCTGGCTCAAGAAAAACTGCTGAATGCAATCAAGTATTTTCTGGGTAGGAATTAAAGGAATGGGCCCTTAAATTAGTAAAATGAATTATTGAGGGTTGTGCATACATAACATTTGGATATTCATTTTAGATTAGCGTCCCAAGGCAAGGGGAGAAAGAAAGCAGACAACGATTACTTTAATATATAGGGACATATTATGCCCTGGCTTACAACATGTATAACGCCATGAAAGCAAGTGGGTTTGCACAAGGGTGTGAATGAAGGCAGAAAGTGTCTTATGCAGACATTTAATTGGACTTTATCATGAGATTTCCGCTGATTCCAAGTGTAGGCTGTCTTAAAATGTTTAAAGAATGGCTGGCTCCAGCAATTACACGGCTTTCTACTTTCTCATCTTGAGTTCTTCTTTGGCTCCAGTGGTTGAAGCTTGCAGTTTTTGTACTGAAGCTCCTAAGTTTGAGCCCTATTTGATTAGCTCTGTGGCTTTGGACCATAAGGGAGCTGTAGGAGGCTTCCATCAACCCCCCTTCTGCTCTATACATGAGTCATAAGGCTACTGTGGGTCAGGATTGGGCATAATGAAACTTCACTCTGTAAAGTCTAAGATTCAGATCAACATCCACTGCTACAGTTAGAAATAGCACTAACAAAGAGGCCAATAATCAGCATCTGAGGATGTTGAGGGTCACCGATAATTATGTGTTGAAAGTCAAATAAACACTTTTTTTCTGGGAAATGAGGCTGAAAAGGTTTGTCTGTTATTGATATGTGAATTTAATGGATTGGAAGGAAACAAGAAATATATTCCCCATGCATCTCCATAGTGAAAGCACACAGGGTAAAATCCTGGCCCCACTGCAGTCAATGGCAAAGCTCACATTGACTTCAATAGGTCAGGATTTCACCCACAGCACCTGTGTCAAGAATGGCCAAGGGTATGTCACATGATGGATGCTCCTTCATTTGGCAGTAGAAACATAGTTTTAAATGTTGATGTGGAAATGACCAATTTAGTTTAGTACAGCTGTATTTCCATTGTTGTTTAAACAGTTTTTCCTACCTGTTAAATATGCTGCACTTTATCAATACTAGGTTTGATTCCTTTGTATGTTTTATTGTTTTGTTTTTCTAGACTACTAGAACTCCTATCAATAATAATGTTGTCAAAGGCCAAAAGGGAGAGCCGGTAAGTGATATCAGATTCTTCAAATAAATTTAAAATCACAAAGGGCCAAATACTGCAAAGTGCTCTGTGTCTCATGCAAGCTGGTGAGAAACCTCAACTCACGTTTATATCTTCATCATGGAGGATTGGGCCCTAAGATTATTGGACTCTGTTGGCCAAAATCTGCTCATAATGTAAATTCAGGATAATCCCATTTGCTTCAGCAGAGTTACTCCGGATTTATATCAGTAGAAACAGAGAGGAGAAAGGAAAATTTGGCCCAAAGTGTATATAAATTTGTAATCTTTTTAAGAATGTTTCTGCACAGTAGAAAGAATCCTTCTGTGCTTCATTAACAGTGTTCCTTTTTATATGGAACTATGTCAATCTATTTTTGAATATTTCTAGCGTGTACAAGCCAGTCACTTATAATCAGGCTCAACAGGCAAAGATGTTTTTCCTTGTATGTATTTTTGTACTTCCTCTTCTCTACTTATTTGAACTGTAAACTTTATTCACATTTAATAGAAAAAAAATCTCTTTTACAATATGCACTATCATATGGGGCCAGATTTTACATCTGTTAACTTCAGCCTGGGCAGGATTTGGTCCGTGATGCACCAGATAGCAACATATTGAAAGACAAATACAAATATTAACTCTTGTCTATTTTGAACTTTCTAGGGTTCTCCTGGAACTCATGGATCACCTGGCTCCCCTGGACTCCCAGGCAGTCCCGGCTCTCCTGGCCAGCCTGGGGTCTGTCAGTCGTGTCCCTCTATAAATGGAGGAGTAAGTCATAATTATTACATTTAGCTCTGAAGGTGTTGCTTATAAGCTCTAAGGGTGAAACTGTCACCCGCCCTACATGTAGGGTGGAATATATTTATTCCAATGTTCACCCTACCTGTGTCATATGGGTCTCTGTGCAGCAGGAAGGCTAGCCTGAGTAGGGCTGATACTTCTGTTCTGACATGGATGGGCTCTACAGATGGGTAGGGAGTGGAAAAATCTTGATTCTTCCTCCTACCCTCAAAACACCAGCCAGCAGAGATGAGCTGGCACTGTTAGCCCAAAACAGATTAACTATGGTCTACACCAGGGGTCTCAAACTCAATTTACCTTAAGGCCAGGGCCAGTCCTCAATTCCTCCCAGCGGGCCAATAATGTCCATGCTGCCCAGAACCCATCCACCCCCAAAACTCCGCCCCCCCCAAAAAAAACTCCACAGGGAGGGGCCGCCAGACATGTGGAGCGAACAGGCAGACACCACTCAGCTCCGCTGTACTGCTGGGGCCCCGGGCCATTTTAAATCGCCTGTGGGAGGAACGCCCAGGAGCGGCAGGTGGAGCCAATGGAGAGAGCTGGCCCCAAAACTGCTGGAGCCCCGCGGACCACATTGGGGAGGTTCGTGGGCCGCAGATGGCTCGCGGGCCACAAGTTTGAGACCCCTGGTATACACAGATCAGAAGATGGGCTGTCTGTAGATCCCACCTCCCCCCCGCATCTATCATTGTGTGATTTATTAAGACAGAGACAGAATAAGATGTAACACACAAATATTTATTATGCCACTAGTCAGTAAACTAGACAAGGATCCCCGCTTCAGACAATAAACAACATAAGCAAGACACACTCAGTTGTTAACAGTTACCAGAGCATGAAGCTCAGAGCCCTTGAACCCCCTTAACCTATGGATGTAAAACAGAGGAAAACTACAAAAACTATTACAATATCATATCCTGAAGACAGGGACACAATGATAAAAACCGACAGGGATAGTGGTGAAAATCGGGGGCACTGGACACCAAACAGGAACTCAGGAACTGGGTATTCTTCTCCCTCTAGACAGGTCCTCTGGGCAGGTCTTCTCCCTCTTGGGCAGATCTTCTCCCTCAGATAGGTCTTCGGTGCTTGCCCACGCAGTCTCTGCTTGACCTCGTAGTCCAGTGCAAGTATGTGCTCACTAATGGTGTGTAGCAGATGAGTGCAAGTATATTAATAGAAACCAAGAATCCAAAATCCTATGAGTCCTGGTCCCTCTGGGGCTCCTGGCAGCTAGCTGAACTGAGTGGGACACTGGCTGCCACTCAGATGGACAGCCCTGAGTGACAGGCCTGCCACTCACTAAATAACCTGCGGTTGCTAGGCAGATTATGGCTGTCACATGACTCTAACTGCCCTGACCTTTTCCCGCCTTAATTTGAAAAAGGCTGAAAGGGCACTAAATCATCTGAAGAGAAGGGTATCCAAGATGAAGTCTTAACTGTCCTTTTACAAATCCAGGATGGACAGTACATAAAACAGGTCAGAAACAGATTTTACCTAACATTTCCCCTCCTTGAAGATGTTATTGATTTCAAATAACTGTCTTCACACCTGTATTGCTCAAGCGACAGGTACTCTGGAGAATCTAGACTTGTTAGCTATCTTTCTAAGCTTTAACTTTACCCATCCTATCACCATGAAAACAAGGATAAGGGTAAGACCTTGAATAATCAAAATAACCAGAAAAGGATGCAGCAAAATTTGAACTTTTTACCACTCTTTTTAACACTCGCTCAATCTGTGCAGTGGAGTGATGCACTGATATCAGTAAACTCTTGCCCTCCTTTTCCAGGTCTTTTACTAAGGCTTCTAATTCTGGATGCTGTATTAATTGCTGTAGTGCATCGAGGTTGACCCCTATGTTCATAGGATCAACAAGTCTATACAGTTGATAGTCTTTAGTGATGGTTTGCACATTTAACTTCTCAGATGTAAACATAGTGTTGCATCCTTGTACAACAAGTGCAAAACATAGATAGAGATTCACATTTGGATAATTTTCAACAGGGTAAAAGAAGTTCACAAGGAACTTCCTACAAAAACTTCTTATACGCAAACAATTACTGTTGATCACAACGACCTGAGACTGGTTGTCTTGATGGGGTTCCAGATTATAATGACACTTGCCCTGATCGCTATTATGGCAGATATGGGGTCCTTGATAGACCTCTGTGGAACATATATATCCATGTTCCTCCTTCCAGACACATACATCTAGATTGACAAAGTGATATTCCTCTTGCTCTCTGAGTGCCCACTTAGGGATATCTATGGGTGCCATTATGGTATTATTATTCCCAAGGGGATCAGAGGATATACCCAATTAGTGCTGGCATTAGCAATAGTTCAGATGTGAGCTGTGATTTCTCTTGAGTCTGGATTATAAACAAAATCCAGCTTCCTTTGACCTCTATGGAAAAGTCTCCTATTGACTTCAGTGGGGTTGGACTAGGCCAATAGAGATGTGGTTTCAAGAGGAAACTTGGGAACAAGATCAAAAGGAGTGACCCGTGCTCTGGTAAGATGTTACCTGATAACATCTTGCCTGGGGATAAGAGAAGAGAGAATGGAGAAAGGCAGTTGGTTTCCTCAGAGCAGGCAGATCTGTAGTACAGTACAGGGTCAGCTGTATAGGCAGCTAAAGTAATTCTGATCACCAGGCTGGGCGCAAAGAAAGATGCAATAAGGGCTTCCATTTGGGATGACTTTTGAAACGTGCAGAATTGTAATTGTTAGAACATTGCTAAACAGCTTATATAAATGAGTTATTTCCAATACAGTGTGCCATATGAAGTGTGTATATTGCCTGATTTGATTTATAATGGACTCTCTTGTTTTGATATTTCTGTTGCAGAGTTTTTCTCCTCAGTATGACTCCTATGATACCAAGGCTGGTACTGGACAATATCCACTTTCTGTAAGATAGTAACCTTTTCTCTTTCCCTTTTTTAAGAGCACTTTTTCCTTTTGTAGATTGTATCTTGGATATTTATGCCTTTCCTATTGAACAAATAAGGTTATTTATTGAATTGCTGACTGCAAATGGAATAAGGTTTAAGGCAGAGTTTGTCCTGGAAGTATCATTCTAGGATAACTCCAAATGTATAGATTATATGAAACTGCATTGTCGCTTCATCCTTTACCATTTTTTCTCTTCATCTCTCCATCCCATTTCTGGATCTGCACTCTCTGCCCTTCCTCCCAACTGATTCTCTCTCACACAATACCTCTTTCCTTATTTTCATCTCTTCTCCTTTCTATATTCTCCTCACCTTTGTTCCCTGCCTCTTCCATTTTCTACCTCTCATTATTCTTCCCCAACTGCTTTTCTCTCCCCCACCCTGAATGCTTTTATCTCTCCCTTCCCCTTCTTCTTTCCGACAGCATTCAAGACCATTCATGCTCAATATAATCCTCTATCCCAGTTTGTATTTCCACAGTTCAAATATTGCTCTATGGCAAACCAATATATTCCTTTTATTGTCTTCCTTTTGTCCCAGATGCAGCCAGAGCATCCTACTGTGTTCTTTGTTATCCACAGCGCTTCAGACTATGCACTAAGGATGCTGAATCTGCCCATTAGGCCTGGCACAAACTTTTCAATATTTTTTTTATTAGCTCAAACACATGTTGGATGAAACAATCACATGTATGAGTTACTTCCTTCATAAAGTTCATCTAGAAAACATATCTGCTTAATTTTCTTTTTATGTACTAGGTTTGTAAGGTCATTCATCACAGCTAACATGGAGTGTCCTTACAACAGTGATATTCCATTGATAGATACAAGTGCCTTCTGACAGAGTCATGGAATACTGTGCAATCTCTAATGGACATTGTGAACTATTATCTGAAATTGGTTGCTGCTTCATTAGCTACAATCATTATTTCCTAGTCTACATAAGAAGGATTGTATGTCACATGGTGTACCAGATGAAAGCAGCACCAAACAAACATGTTATTTCTCTGGGTTCCATCAGATCATCGTATTGAATGAATGGTAGACTTCTTTTTACTGAACTGCAGTTCATTATTTTCTCAGTTTTGTTTTCTCTCATTTGTTTCTACCTCACTCATTTGTTCATTCGTTCATTCATTCATTTGCAGTTCCTTACAGATTTTACTCACAGCTTATCATATCATCTACATTCTGCTACTTGGCTTCCTAACATGAGATGTGCTGAACCACAGAGATAACAGAGATACACTGTAGTTCAACAGACATGGTTTCTACACTGTATTTTGGCATTTATATTAAAGAACTTATATTTCTCATATATGGTTCACTGGACAAGGGGCATGTTTTTAACCTGATTGAATAGCCTACATCAGGGGTCGGCAACCTGTGGCACGTGTGCCAAAGGTGGCACGCGAGCTGATTTTTAGTGGCACTCTGCTGCCAGTCTGGGGTTCCGGCCACCGGCCCCGTGCCAGCCGGGGTCCTGGCCACCGGCCCCGCTCAGCCCACTGCCGGCCTGGGATACCAGCCGCCGTCCCCACTCACCTCGCTGCACTATTATTTACTTTACATACAATAATAGTTTAATTATATAATATAGACATATAGAAAGAGACCTTCTAAAACATTAAAATGTATTACTGGCACTCGAACCTTAAATTACAGTGAATAAATGAAGACTTGGCACCCCACTTCTGAAAGGTTGCCGACCCCTGGCCTACATCCTTTGCTGTCTGTTTTTGCCATACTGTGTCCTGTCAAATTGTTTTACACTGCATCATAGAATAAAGTGATGTGATGTGAATAACAGACACATCTAAACATGCTATTCTGTATGTATTATAAATCTCAACAGCATTTGATTTTTGTTTTACTAAATTCTTGCTGTTAATTCAGGTAAATACCTAATCCAAGTAGTTGGAAAGGGTAATGGACTTATCTTTAGTTCAAATATATTTTCCTTATAGGTGGTTAACCATGACTGGTATTTCATTATCCACACATCTCTCCACCATTGTTATTACTATGTCCTTTCACTGCATGTTTGTTGGTCTTTTAACGGTACATGTCAATTTCTCCTCATTGGCTTTCATTTCCCTTACATAACTGTTCTCTTACTGTTTCTCTGAACCAACCATATTTTACAGCTAAACAATTCCCATTTATTCACAGTTTGGAGACAATGCTAACAAGCAAATGTCATTCTTAACTATGGATTTATTTCCTCATGTGTACTTTGAAAAATAACATGTTTTGTTCAGTTTGTAGCCACACATGGATGCAGCACCAGTCCAATTTCCTTTCATGTTAAATTAGTTCTAATAATCATACATGTAATGATATGAGCAAGTAGACTGACACAGTTCAAAGCCATTAGGTATACTTTATGATTGAGACACAACTACTACTGCGATTTTCTTTATCAAATCTGGACAAATATGTGAAATAGTATTTATAGTGGTTGGATTAATCTACTGTAGTGAAAATGAAGTTGATGTGAAATATATTTCCTGTGTTGTAAATCATGGAATATTACCTGTTCTGTGAAGTATATTATCTATGCTGTAAGTCATAGAACATATTTCCTCTGCTGTGGAATATATCATCTATTCTTTACATCATGGAATATTTTTCCTCTGCTATATAATATAGAATCCATGCTCTAAAGCATGGAATATATTTCCTATGCTATGGAGTATATTACTTCTGTTATAACTCAGATACGCCCACTGTATTGACTCTACCACATCAACTAAAGCTTAACTGAAGAAATTTTTTTATTTGAACAACTGAATGCAGGTCTAGCAAAACATAAGCAAAACTTACAGTTTTTTCCTCATGTTGCTGCATGCTTCCTTGTTTGTTGCTACTTAACTTATAGGTATTTAACATGCAATATTAACATACTTGTAATTTTCTGGGACTAATTTTGCTGTCACTTGCACCAGTTTAAATCTGAAATAACTCCACTGAGTTCACAAGAGTTATTTCATACGAAGAGCAGAATGTAGTCCACTATGTCCTTTGACTACCCCAGATGTCATTTAATTTTTATGGTGTAGTATTGTACCACTTAAGAAAATCAGTGCATTGGCTAACATTCATGAATCCCTGCCAAGTATCAGAAATATAAATTAAACAGTTAGAAGTCCAAAAAGGTGTACAGGGCATAAACCTTTTCACAGCATGAAGGTTATGTTGCCAAAGCACATCCTGCCCTAATGGATTGTACATGTGCATGTAATACCAAGCATACAGAGAGAAGAAATTAGCATCTAACAAATGCTGATTTTACTCTCAAATTAGTTATAGAAATCCAAAAGTAGCACAGGTAGAATATCCTGCAGGTTTACTGGCACCATTTGGCTCCACCATAGTGGGGCCTGGGTTTAGGAGCCCTCTTGCACCTAACTGTGTCCAGACTAATAGAACTCATTTGCATTGAGGAGATGAGGTCCTTGGGTCCATTAAGGAAGCTGATACTCTTTTACCCTAGGAATATTCCTTGCAGCAGATTTATGAAATGTCCTTGATACTTGCCTTAGAGCAAGTGGTTTATCCTTCATTTTAGCTGGACAAAAGGCAATATAACAACATCCTTTTGGGGTTTAAATGTCTAGAGGAAAGAAATATTAACCTGGAGTAAAGGGGTGGAATCAAAAGGACCCCCTTCTGAATCAGTTTAGGCAGAACCTGTATTGTATGACTGCAGTATGCCACTGCAAAACACCAAACAAATTTGATTTAAGTCTTTCCTGGAGAGATTGTAAATGCTGGAGATTATGAGCCACAATCAAAATACACTGTACAGTCATACAGTGAAAGTACATTCTCTTTCTGCTGGGTTTCTCTAAGATACTAAGGTTAAAATTTATTACAGTTCTCTCATTACTGATAGGAAATTTTCCACCATCTCTACTATATTTCATTGCAGACTTCTGCTCTACAGCAATAGGCATCTATACTGAATTGTCTTTTATTGTCAACCCTGCCTATGGTTATGATCCTAATAACGATTATAAATAGATTTTGATTTAATTACTATTTTTATATATACATTTTAGCAAGTTCCAGGAATGCCCGGCCCACCTGGCCTGCCTGGCCCACCTGGTCAACCAGGCTCACCCGTAAGTAAAATTCAGTCTTGCTATGTACATCTTATCCCCTGAAATATACAGCCCCTGTTCTCCCTCCTTGAATTTGGGCACGTTTTCAACCAACAAATCTAGATGCTGAGAATTTTATGACTATGTTGTGTTCTTTTATTGGTCTGTAATATAACCTCAGGAACAAATGACTCAATATCAGATTCTGCCCTTACTTAGACCCTATGCATTCCCACTGAAATCAGTGGAATTATATGGCATGTAAATCGACATAGACTATGATCCCTAATGATGCTTAAATTCTAATTTTACTTATGATTCACTGATAATGCTCCAGTCTCTTAATTCATACATAAATTTAACAGCCCTAGTCATCTAAAGTGAATCTGGAAATTCCAGTGCATGTACAGCAATATGCTATGAGCTTTGGGTTTTTTAATGTGGATTTCCATTTAGTGGAGTAGTTTCAATCCATATTGCTCAATTGATTATTTGATCTGTCAGTTTGCTTCCCTCTGGTTGTTCAGTAATTGTTCTGGGTGAATTATTTATTATGATTATGAAGGTATTGCAATATGTAGCAACCTCCTGGGGAAAAAAACAGTGATTTCTCAGCTGTGTTCTTCTACATATCAGGGTGGTCATGGATACCAAGGTTCCCCTGGTGAGCCTGGACAACCTGGCCCTTCTGTAAGTATCACTTTACATTACTATGCACTTAAAAGTCATGTTCTTGCAAGCTGTCCATAGACATACGCTTACCTTGCCTGAGTAAGGACATTAGGATTGATCCCTTAAGAAATGAATGGTAGAAGGAATATAGTCTATGCAACTTTATTTGTTCAACCTTTTAAACAAAGAAACAAGTCACACCAGACTTTTCAGTAGAATGTTAATAATCCATATGAATGCATGTAGGAAAAATTACTACACTTTGGGTCTGATCCAAAGCCCATTGAAGTCAATGGTAATCCTTCCATTGACTTCAATGGGATTTGGATCAGGCTTTATGAAAGGAAGACCTGCAGAGAAGCAATTCGCTATGTACATATTCATTATGGACCAAATTCAGTTCTATGGTGCACTAACCATTAGGGATGAGCAGTATTTGATGCAAACCATTTTTGCTCACGAAAATAGAGACAATTTTGGAAACCCTTAGAACCATTAAATCCATTGCAAATTCTCTTTTTCATTGCTGATCAAATTCCTCTCCTATTTGGCTGAGATTTATCCATTAGTTCACACATTCAGATACAAATCTCTCATTTCACTCCTGTGGGCTCACAAAAGTGACTGGAACTTGATTAAACAATCTATGACATTTAGCTAGTTACTGCTTTTCATAGGCCTACCACAAATAGTAACAGGAAGAATATATCTGTGATGCATTTAACATTTATGGAATAGTTTAAACCCACATCAGCTGAATACTAGATAGGACAAAAACCTAGGCAGGGTTGAATAGAGGTCTAAAAATAGTGATTGCATACATGGTGATGCTGGTAAATCCTCTTAGCTGTGTTGATTTCAATGGACTATGCCAAATTACACGCCCAATAATCCTTTTAATCCCTAGAAGTGAAAGTCCCCCTGCTCCAGTCAGAGTGGGCATTAAGCAGTAAACTACGTGAGGGTTTAGGGATGGAATTAACCCTGCTATCTATGTGTTGCCTGTGTAGCTGCAATGCATTCCCTCCTTGGCCACTGTTCCAACTCATGGGCAGCAGGTTTCTGATTCCTGGATCTACATAGTCACAAACGTATGACCCACTAGTCCAATTCTGCCCTGTTTTGAAACCCTTCTGCACTGGCTTATTTGGAGCCATAGAGAGACCCACTCTGTGGAGTGCAGTTAGTCAAATGCCCCTTTGTCCACCCCTGTCACATGGGCCAGACCTCCCCACTGGGTGGATTTAACCCTGAATGACTACCCACTGTATTTACCAAACCTGTGTATTGCAGCTGTGCGAATAGTTCATGACTTTTTAATACAATTTTTATTTGTACATGATGGAAGGAAATTCATCTTTATTTTGTTTTCAGGGACCTCCAGGACCCCCAGGATTACTAGGCCCAGCAGGTCCCCCAGGAAAAGATGTAAGTTCAATGTTACAGTATGTAATGGAGGAGGATCAAAATTCCTGCATAGTGTTATTAAAGCAGTGTCTATTGGTACCACTCTGTTTAAGTATCTTTCAGGCTATCACATGTAATCCCCTGATTTGTACATTTCATAATATGTCTGTAAAAATTTGCTCTCGATTAAAACTTGGTATGAAATGTCTCCTTTCCAGAGGAGTTGTGACAATCTCCGGCCCCTTATTACACATATCGTAAATAATACGTAGGCACCATAAGTGAGGTCAGGACTGAGTGGCTGATTTGACAGTTGCTGTGAATTACTTTGCATTGGCCAGTTTTAGTTGTAACCCATAGTTTAGTTTACTATTTGTGGGTTAACAACTTAGAGTGTCTGTGCTTCTATTGTAGTTCCAAGCTTTTATGTTTGTTTGGGGGGGTTGATCATTTCCCCAGAGTGTGCTAAGGAGATACATTGATTTTTTTTCTAGATCCCAATATGCAGCCCTTCATATTTGTCACCTCTATTTTATGCGAAGATCTTACATACTTGACACCTGGCACTGAACTCATTAACGGCCTGATCCATAGCCCAGTGCAGTCAATGGATGACTCCCATTAAGTTTAATGAGGTTTGGATCAGGCCATAAATAGACAGGCAGTGATAAAGATAGGATAGAACCTACTTTTGATATGTGCCTGAAATCTTGTTCTGAGCCACATTAACTTTGAATCTTTGGGAAATGGGTTCTATTGTCATGAAAGACCAGGTGTTGGCTCACAACACCAGATAGATTATTTTGCATGGCTATCGTACAGAGAGACACAATCAGTCAATAAAAGTCTTTGTCCCTTTTGACTGTTTCTCTATGTGTGGTAAATATCAGAGGCATCATGAAGCTTCTGTGATGCCACCATTTCTACAAAGAATAGTGTGGCTAAGACTGGAACGTACTCCTTGTTCATCAAAACATTTGATGAGAATGGATCATGAGCTGTGACGGGCTTCTAATGTAAAGACAAAATTGTGCTATGAGACAGATTTCACCCTGGCATAAACTGATGTGACCCCCTCCACCCATTGATGTCAATGAGAGTTGCAGCAGCTTATTCCAAGGTCTGTTTAGTCCTGTATTACTAGTTCTTTGCCAGAAACTGAAGTAGTAACAGAGCAAAACTGTTTATTCTGTCCATAGGGAGAATCTGGAAGACCAGGCAGAACTGGTGAGCGTGGATTACCTGGACCAGCGGTAAGAAAGAGCCCTGAGAGAGCTCTTCTGAATGAAAAACCAACTTATTATTGATTTTGCATTTTGTTAACAATACCACCAGACTGACTATGCTACTTAATATATATTAGTTTATGTGCTTCATTACTTCGCCATATTTCTAATTTACATAGTCTTTTACGCTTATATGTTTAGGGCCACAAAGGACCCCCTGGTATGCCTGGATTCAATGGAATGAAAGGTCACAGAGTAAGTATTATTGTAAGAGTATTTTTGAGTGAAATACTCCAACTGAATCATTATGCAACGGGCACAAGCACTCCCCTTTGCAGAACTTTTGGAAAGTTCAGATCTGAACTTCACAACTGGCTCTTCTCTCAGTAATGGGCCTTTTGAAAATCTAAAACCCTGGCCATGAACACCCTACACTTAGGGAAAGTTCTGATCTGGTTCAAAATGTGCCCCTTTGTCCCATCTCTGCTTATTTAGATTTACCATTGAGTTACCATTAATACTGATGACAAATAAATTACCTGGAATGTATTCTTAATTACGAGCCAAATTTTGATCCCCATATTTACATTGTTGAGCAGTTACCCACATGAGCAGTCCTTGTGAAATCAATGGGACTATCCGTGGCACTAAATTCTCACCTATGTAATAAGGAGTTCACAGTCTATTTCTAATCATGCACTGATCATCTTTTGCATTTTTATGTTCCTGTAACATTTTACAACAGGAGTCGTTAAAGCTATTTTGATTTTCTGGTGTATTACTATTTAAACAAATATAAGCCATTTTCCTACAATGTAAGATTTGTTGTTAGCTTTTCAGGTTAAAAAAAAAAGGATGCACTTGAAGTTCAGTATTGATCAAGGATTATCAGGGTTTCAAAGTACAAATGAAATGTATGTTATTTTTGGTTCCCTTAGGGCTTTGATGGAAGAGATGGCGCCAAAGGTGATAGTGGTGCGCCTGGTCTGAAGGTAAAGTGACTTTGTTGCAGCCTCTAGAAAGTATGTAATTTTACTCTGAATCAATAACATAACTGTATTTTGCATATTTGCTTCTGTAAAACCACTTACGCTTTTTAAGTCCTGGCTGATCATGTCCATATAAATAATCAGTTACTCTAGGGGAGTCTGTTGTCTGCAATTGCAGCATATCTCATCTGATTTTATAACAGTAACAGACAGAAAAGATGGAGATTCCCATGACTGAAGAGTATGTTCAACTTTATTACTTTAAATAGATGCTTTACTGATACACTTCAGGCCCAGTTCACCTCTGTGTTACACCAGCTTAATGCCAGAGTAACTCAATTGATTTTAATGGAATTACAGCCATGTAGAACTGAAGTAACACAATGATGGATTGGGCCCCAAGCCTTTCTGTTTTAATATTTTGTGCCTGAGGTTGTTGAGACTTCTCAATCCCCATTGACTTCAGTAGAATCTGAAGAAACTGAATACCTCACAGAAGATGTTTAGCTTCTCAGAGGATTGGGACCTTGCTTGTTACTGTGTGTCATCCCTACAGGAGATCACTAATGAAATATGGTAATAAAGGTTAATTCTGTCAAAACCTGATATTCTCTTTATATAACAGGGTGAAAATGGTCTTCCTGGAGCAAATGGATCACCTGGGCCAATGGTAATTTTTTTCATTATCATTTAATTAGAAGTTACAGTAACTGATACTTTTTCTGCTTAGTATTTCTTACTATCTTCAGCTCCCTTTTGACTTTATTCCTTAAGAGCTTGATCCTGCCACCCTTTACACACACTGAGTACTACTTACCCATGCAGACAGCTCCATTGAAACATTTCTAAGCAAAATAGTTTTCTTCTTGTTGTTTGTTACATGGTGTCTTTGAAAATCTGTCGTCCAAATTAATAATTGTATGTTCTTTAGGGTCCACGAGGTCCAGCTGGTGAAAGGGGAAGATCAGGATCTCCTGGTTCCGCTGTAAGTAATTGGAACAAAACTACAGGATTGCTATTATTTCTGTTGCATGACCCAACAGGTGCACATCATGCTTCATAGACACACAAAATAAAAGCTCCCTGACTCACAGAGCTTACAGTCTACGTTAGATGTAGTACAGCAAATAGTGTATAGGAGGATATGGCAGAATATATAGTTTCTGCAAAATCGTCATGAAAATTTACCAGCCAAAGATCAAAGGTTGTAGTAAAGGGCATACAGATTTGCTACATGCAATGTGTCCTTAACAAGTTCTTCTTTATATTGTATGCTAATATATTATACTTTGAGGGTATAAGTTCAGCCAACCGAGTGGGCAGGATGGAGTAGAGGTCAGCATTGGAAGACTAACTAAACAAAGTGACTGCTGTGGAGAAGAGTGAGACTGTGGTGTCCCAGCTTGGACTAGAAGGGGAGGTCATAATTAACGCCAGCTAATGCAAACAAGTCTCAACCTAAAATATAACAGAACAGGGACTGTTTATGCTAGTGCACAATGTACTGAGCAATGAAGATGTCTGATACATCTACAGCAGAGGTAACAGGCCTTAAATCATTGTTAGTTCTTTTGTGCCACATTTTATCCTTTCTCTGTGTTTGTAAGCTATAGTCATTCTAGAATGCATGACATTTATTGCTGTCTTATTTATTTAATCTAAAGTACAGCTCACACACATTATGTTTTGCTCTATTAAGCATGATTGCTATGCATTAAAGAATTAGTGGTGTCTAATAACATATTTCCTTGTATACCACTATCTTCTTATTACAGCAAAGTGCATGTACAATTGATAGGCACCTTTTGGATATTAGTATTACTACTACTACTACTATTGTTATTTAACATAGTAGGCACCCATACCTGAGGAATTGTGTGTGCCATAATAAAATATATAGGAATGTATGGACATGCAGAAACATGGTTTGAAAGTCAATATCGTTGTCCAATATCAAAATCCTTGGCTTTTCAGCCCCAAAGAGAATGTATAGTATGTGATTATGTTGTATTCTTTTGGTAGGGCGCCCGTGGTAATGATGGTACTCCGGGAACATCTGGACAACCTGTAAGAAACTTAATTATTGTTTTCCCTTAACTATTGTATTGCTTAACTATTTTTCTCTTCCCCATGTGCTTGATGGGCTACAATGCCACCCTTTAATTGGACATGGTTTGCCTTATGAATAGTGTCTTAGGCAATTATAATTTTCAATAACTTTACGCTTGCTATTATGATTGAAACAAAAAACCTTTATTTTTGATGAAGAATAAAAAGAAAATAAGAGAAATCATGATCCTGTAAATCAAAAGGATGTGTATGTATATCCAAACTTTTCTCTAATTATTTACTGACGAAGATAATGGAAACTCTTTATATGGGCCAAATTTTGAATGATTTCATCATATAAGTCACTCAGCCCTAGCGCTAGATCATGATGTCAAGCTGTCTAGAGTAGCTCATGAGCAAGAGTGCCAACCTCAGGGCAGACTGTCAAGGAGCAAGGCACAAACCCCAAACTGGTTGTATGTTCTATAATTAGATTTCATCAACCAAGTAACAAGTGTGAACTCCTATCTATCTTGCCTTTGTGATAGATTGACCCTTACACCTAAAATCACAACAATATTCTGGATACTCCCAGTCCCAAAGGACCAGTCATTTACTGCAGGTCAATTGTACCTCAGATCTCAAACCAAAGACAATGCTTGTAGCCAGTCCTATAATACTAACTAAAGAGTTATTAACTAAGAAAAAGAAATAAGATGATTATTTACAAGGTTAAAGCAGGTAAACAGACACACACAAATAAGATACAGTCTTAGGTTCCAAAAGATAATAGTAGCTGCTATAATATGCAAGCTCTATATGTCCTTTATGGCTAGCACAAGCCAAGCAGTTGGTGATCCCTTGCTTATGCTTAGAAACATTGCCCTCTCCAAATTCCAAGCAGCATCATGATATAGTTCCTTTTTGTCAGGCATTTTTATTCCCTTCCCCCAGAGTTCAAGCTGATGGGATGAGTTCACACGCAAGCCCCCTCTTCATGAATGTGGGGGAGAACAATCAACAAAGTCTTTGTCCTTTGATGCTTCACAATGGCTCATTTGGTTTCAATGGGCCATATAAACCATGAGTTAGCCCAACTCATATAAACCATAAGGTAGCCCAACATTTTTATTTTTCCAACTACTTAGAAACTGTAATAGTAGCAACCATATTCTCCTCTTTTCCCTCTCACATGCTTTCATTCAAGTGATCTGTTAAAATATTTTGTGCAATATCATCTCGATAGTCATACTTTTCAAACTGAAATTATTCAGTTACAAAAACATCCACATCTGATTGAAAATGTACATTGAATAAGGGTAACTAAAGTACAGGTGTGATATTTTAAAAACAGCCACATTTCATCTTCTAGAGTATGACTCACATTTCTTGATATTTTGCCAGATGTTTCTTTTTTCATGACAGAAAAAACCTCTCACAGTCAGGTTTATTTTCAAATTAAGTTTCATTCCATATGACCTTCACCTCTTGTAATAATAACTTTGCCTTCTTTATTTAAGGGTCCCCCTGGCCCTCCCGGAACTGCAGGATTTCCCGGCTCTTCGGGTGCTAAGGTATCTATTTGAAGATCTATTTCACCATATGGCATATGCCTCACTGTCAGGCCGCTATCACATTTCTTGGAGGTCTATAGCTGATGTATTTTCATACACAGAATTAGGCAAATCATGCTCACTTCACTCTCACAAGCACTGCCATTGCAACCAATGCATGTGAATGCTATGAGGATTTGTCCCCAGGCCTGGAACATCTCTCACTTCTGCATATGTTTTGGAAGTTTCTCCAGGATATTTTCATGCTGACCTCTAGGCACATTTACAATACAAGTAATAAAATAATCCAGTGTGAAGCTCACCCCTGTGCACATCACTGTCCTTGTAACTGTTGATTTATTTGCCCTTCTCCTTTTTTAGCCCTTCTTCTCTGGAGCATCTCTCTGCTCCTCCATGTTAAATATACAAATTATGTGCTCTTTTTTATTTCTTTTCTTATGTTAAAAGGACTAAATTGCAGTCTTGTTCCTCTAATGAATACTGTAAGGTGCAGGATGGGGCTTTGGCAACTAGGTAAAGGTACTCTGATGCATTCTACCTGCATAGGAAAGAGACAGACACAATGCCTTATAGTGTATGAGGCAGAATGTGCTTTCTATCACTCTTTAGAACTGCATGAGACAATATGCAGTATTTCAGCAAGTGCTGCCCAGCACATATTGCCAAGTTCTAGCTCGCTGTGTTCCCTTGGATCAGTTACCTGCCCCTTTGCTCAGGATAGGCTAGTGTCAGCATTCTGCCTGGGTCCAGCAAAGGTGCACTGGCTGAGGAAGAGGTAATGAGGCTAAAATGTTAATATTATCCATTGGGAGCAATACTAGAGTGAGTTCAATTTGCTCTCATATCATCTTCTTCATAGGGTGAAGCTGGTGCTCCAGGTTCCCCAGGCTCTGATGGTACCCCTGGACAAAGAGGAGAACCTGGTCCACAAGGTCATGCTGGTGCAGCTGGTTCTCCTGTAAGTAACAAACATCACATAAGTCCTTGGAAATGTTGTGCTGGTTATACAAACATATTGTTATGATTACTGCCATACAAATTGATGTTTGCAAAATGCTATGGAATTTTTGGATTTAAGTACAATGTTATAGCATTGATTAATCATTTCTTCTTTCCAGGGCAATCCTGGAAGAGATGGAAACCCAGGTGGTAAAGGTGAAACGGTAAGTATCCCACCAAATTGTCATTTTTTGCTATGTTATTGGTTGGGGTTACAGTTTTGATTATGCAGTATTCAGTAATACCATGCTTTATTCATATTAGCGTCCTTCAATCCCACACAGGGCCCTGCTGGTATTCCTGGTGCTCCTGGGTTGAGTGGAGCCCGTGGCCCTCCTGGTCCGGCAGGTATTAATGGAATTCCCGGACAAAGAGGCACGCCAGTGAGTCACCAACATTCTTTTCATTACTAAGAGAAAACAAGGGGATAAATTCCCTGTCACCTACAACAGTGCAAACCCATGAACACCAGTGGGGTTGCACAGGTATACAGGGAGTCCTCAGACGTATGACACAATTCGTTCCTCAGAATTGCATTGTAAGTCAAAACATTGTAAGTCAAAAACGCTTTTCCCATAGGAATCAATGGTAGGAAGGGGGGATTGATTCCTGAACCAAGGCTTAATACACTGTTTTCACCACAATAACCCAGTTTTTTTGTACTAAATGAATTATAAATTAATAATGTTGCAACAACAATGTATTTACTGTGCACTGTATTCAAATAAACACATAAACTTACATATGCTGCTCAGAATGCCGGCAACAGGCTCAGAAAACCAGGGCGAACGGCACACGTGCTGAGCCTCAGCCAATCACTGTTCAAGCTTTCTGATTGGCTGAGCCCGGAGCCGGGAGCCAATCAAAACAAGCGACAACCCTACCTGGCAACAACCTACCCTCCTGATTCAAAGCCAATCAGAAGCGACCCCTTTCCGTTCCATACCAGTATAATGCAACCAGGAAGTGATTTCAAGCAAACTTTATGCAAATCGAGCATCCTAAGGGCGAAACAGGCAGTCAATTGAAAAGTGACGTAAGTGGCGTCCGATGTAACTCAGGCGTCATAAGTCCGAGGACTCCCTGTATGTGACATAAGAATATGGCTTAGGGAGTTCTGTTAGAAGCCTTCAGACATTTCCCATATATTTGAACTTGCCTAGTCAATTCTACCATCCCTTTGCTATTGTCTATTATAATTATCCAACCAACAAAACAGAAAAACCACAGCAAAGCAAAAACGTTGGTAATAATAATATATTGCAAAGCCATAGTAAAATGACTGATTTTTGTCCACCATAAATATTCCAAGTATTGAACCTTATTGACATAGTTATATCTCACTTTGGGTTGTAGAAGGATGTATCTGGATGGCTACTCAGATTTAGACTCACCCCATTCATCCATTTCTAATTGTTACATATAAAAAATTTCATCTTTTTTATTTCTGAATTTCCTTGGGCCTGCCCCTATGAAACCTACTCATAGTGTGTAAAATAATTATTCTTGTATTAACATTGAAATTAACGTGCCATGTCCTGACAGAATTACTTCATAATTCCTCAAACCTTATTAATGCAAATTTCCATTGGCATCAAGCAAAACTGACATCAAACTCCCAGTGATGCAAAAACAGAATGAAACCTAGGGTTTGACCCAATGGAAGCACTCACCTGAGTATGGGTATACAGGATCATATCTTTTATAGAGAGGATGTATAACCAGCTCCAGTAGGAGTCTTCCACTTCTGTTTCACTCCTGTGAACAGATAAACCATAAAAATGAGCTGACAATTTAAATGCTGAGAGATATATTTCTTATTATTATCGTTATTTAACAAACTACTGAAATATTCTATTATGTAGAAGTGGTAATGGAAATGTGTTCTGTTTAGGGTGAACCTGGTAAGAACGGTGCAAAAGGAGAGCCAGGCGCACGAGGAGAGCGTGTAAGTGATTTTCTAAATATTCTGATTTCTTTAATGCATCATCATGTTTTACAAGCTTATTAATAACAGGCCAAATACAGTCCTTACCCCAGCCAAAACTTCCATTTAACTCAGCGAGAGTTTTGACTCCACACAATATGTTTTCACTTGTTCCTGCTTTGTCACTAGGGTGAAAATGGTATTCCAGGTGCTGGTGGTCCTCCTGGTGAAGAAGGCAAAAAGGGTGCTAATGGTGAGCCAGGCACAAATGGGTTACCTGGAACACCAGGAGAAAGGGTAAGCCACTCCAAGTCACCACACTGGGTAGTTAAATCATATGTCACATACCATGTACCAAAATCTGGGATTCAAACTTTGAGGAAAGTCTGAATCTAGATAGATATTGAACCAAACTTCCAGATGTGAACATCCCACATATTGGAAAAATTCAGATCCAGATCCTAATCTAGATCTGCTCTGTATGGCTTGGGACTTTCCTTACTTTATAATACATTAAAGTTATTCTTCTTTTGATAGCTAGAGGGTTATTAATCTTGAAAAACTGGTGTTTCTACCCAAGATTTTGAACCGAATAAGAACACAAGAGAACAGAAAAGTATAGTATAACATGTATGAAAGACTCCAAAGACAATCCATTTACAATTTGTAGAATGACACTCCATCAATTAAATTGAATTCCAGCAGATCAAATGAACATGACAAAGTTTCAGCTCTTGAAAGTGAAATTAAGGCTGATTCATCCATATTCAGGATAATTAGTTGATTCTTCTGCCAACAGTCTTTTAAAAATTAGATGCTACTGGTTTGTATAGAGTTTTATCATGGATTAATTATTGAAATAAATTGTTCCAGCATCATCAACAAAGACAGCCCACCTAAAACAAATTAGAATTGAGATTGATTCAATTTTATATTCACTAACTTTGAAAGTATTTTGGAAAGTTGTGAGGAAATCAGAGATGCACAGTGAACAAAATAGGAGGAGGTTGAATGCATGAGTGAACTGCAAATGGAATGTTGTCTTAAAACAATGCAGACAATAGTAACTAATGTCATCAAAACATTGCAACCAAGAGGCCTTCTTAAAGAATGATAGAGAAGGAAAATCATTTTTCAAGGCTGAAATATGTTAATTTTTTACCATGAATTTAAGGAAATCCTAAAGAATAGGGCCTATACCAATGCCCATTGAAGTCACTTAGAGGACTCCCTTTGACTTCAGTGGACGTTGGATTAGACCCAAAGTGCACTGTGCATACAGAAAAAGGATCTTGAATCTGTACAGCCAGGATGGAATGTCATCTCCATCTATCTCCTTCACTGAATATCACTAAAATATGAGTAAATGTGGTTGGTTGAGAAGCATCAAAGTTTGTTATTACAACATTTAAAAAATATTTGGATCTATTTGTGTGAACAGAATGTTGCACACGATCTTTCAAGAAACCAGAAGATGTTTTTGATTGTCTCTGTTACATAGGTAGACTTTGCCTGTTATTTGATCCACAGGACTAAAATGTCTGCTCTCTTGCTTGGCAGGGTACCCCAGGTTCCCGTGGCATACCCGGTAGTAATGGACTTCCAGGAGAAAAGGTACATGCTTTCCCAATTTCATAAAATCCATTATAATAATGATCATTTAAATAGCTTTATTTACTTATTGTGAATGTCCAATGTCCTTTTAAAAAAAATTAAGGGTCCTGCTGGCGAACGTGGTAGTCCAGGCACTGCAGGTCCAAGAGGAGCTCCAGGAGAACCTGGACGTGATGGTGGCCCTGGTCTTCCAGGAATGAGAGTAAGAGAGAACATTCTTTTAATGTGTTATTAAGATAATTTGATGATAATCTTTATTACAGGTGCCTGAGCTGGTTTGCTACAGCAACCAGGGCCAAAGCTCCAGTGGGATATCAAACCTTTTTTGAGATTTTCAATCCATGTCAATATCTATTTTATGTATTTAATTACTGGTAATTATATTTAATTGTACACCCTGTGCACTTCGTGGTTGTGGTTAAAAATGGAACTAGAAGTGCAAAAAATACTTCAAGGATGCTCCTTCTTATGGGATTTCCAACCCAGGTGTTGAAGCCCAAGAGAATTAAACAATCTGAATAAATTTTGGATAAGTATTCAGACTTCTAGGTGCTTAGCTAAACCCCTGAACCTTTGACTGTTTGCCACCATATCTGAATTTCAATTAGTTCAAAATCCTTTCAGTACATTTTGGTGATTTTCAAAGCAATGAGTTAAATCCTTTCCTCAGTGCATTAGGGAGTGTCTGAAGTTGAGTATTGCATACTTAGGGTTGTAGTAGCCTCCAAAGCTGCCCTCGTGCCCTTCCACAGAAGTGTATTTGGTCAGTGGACCATATAATACCAAATCAACCAGCACTGACCTGCCCCACTCCCACAACATATCTCCACAGTTGGGAGCAGGAAGACTATATGAAGCTGCACTCCGTAGGATGCAGGAGGTACCAAACTGCTCAGGTTACAGCATGGCTCTTATAGGATTTGACTTTATATAAACTTCCATTGGATAATTTTATATTTAATCTAATTTTATATAAAATATAAAATTTGAACATTATTTTTTCTGTTACGAAGCCTTTAGTATTTGCAAAAAAAAATGCAAATGTGCTGTTTGGTCTTTGGCATATAATATGTGATGCCCACAGACTCAATCAGATAGAAGTTATAAGGCATTAGCCATAAAAAGCAGAAAAGTACAATGTGCTATACTGAGAATTAGTGGGTACTGGTGACCAATATTTGTATGTTCGAAAGTCAGCAACCACTGATTTTCCATACAGGCTTATGAGTTATTACATTTTACACACAGTAAAATAGTTTTTATTGGAAATCAATGTGACTTTCAGACATATAATGTGACATATATCATATATTTGGTAAACTGAAGAGCAAAGCCAAAGTTACTAAGAATGTGCTATTAAATGTAGTTGTTTGTAAACAATAGGGACTTAATGAAAATGCTTTCATTGCCTACTTTAATTTTAAAGTATGATGACTGCTTTTTTAGTGCCTAAAGCAACTTCGTTCCCTCTATCGAATATCACAGAATGGGCAGAATCCCTACTAAATGAATTATTGATCAGCTAGTCCCTTGTAAATCCAATGGATTTCTTTAGTGAGCCTGAAATGGGTTTGTAAAACTAACTGTAAATAATGGTATCTCTATAGAATGTAATCTAACAACATTAGTTTTTTCACTAAAAATTAACGTACTTTTTCTTCAAATGCAGGGTTTGACAGGAAGTCCAGGAAGCCCAGGACATGATGGCAAACCCGGCCCTCCAGTATGTACATGGCACAAATATTATATGATAGTACTCTCACTGGGCTTGCCTTTGATCTCACTTAACACCATTATCACTCCATTGGAGTCCTGGTGTGAAATGTAGGTGAGATCAGAAACAAGTTCATTAGTTGTATTCTGTGTTAATTTTACAGTGACCAATTATTCCGTATGTTTTTCATTGTAACCGCACTGTCCAGACCTTGTTATTTAACATTACTATAAACACTGACTCCTCTTCCATGAGAGTTTAAGCACAATTTTAAAAAATCATAAAAGTATATTTCAAATGAAAAGTTAGCCAAAAATAACATAGTCTTTGCTCACCTTTTAATTCTTTCATTTGATTTTTTTAACGTTTCTCTATTGTTTACATAATCATTTGTTTCTTCTAATGGTCACTATCTCTCGCCTGCATCAGGGTAATCAGGGAGAATCTGGCCGACCTGGCCCTCCAGGCCAATCAGGTCCACGAGGTCAACCAGGTGTGATGGGTTTCCCAGGTCCTAAGGGTAATGAGGTTAGTGTAATTCCTTGACTTAAAAAACATATACTTAATGGGCCAGGTCCTCTGCAGTTGTAGATCAATCTAGTTCCATTGACTTTGATGGTGCTATATTCATCTAATTCTGCAGATGATCTGGCCCTATACCTATGAAACTCTCATTTTAGCTAGAGGTTGAATTAGAAACATGCATTTTAAATATGTCTGGTCTTTCCCTTTTTAAAGGGTGCGCCAGGAAAGAATGGAGAAAGAGGTGGCCCTGGATCCCCTGGCACACAGGTCAGTTTCATTTATCAGCTTCTCTTTAGTAGTAATTCACAATGTCCTCTGTGATTTTAATCCTTTTAAAAATTGCACTGATCCATAATCACAGTCTAATTTTGTGATTTGATAGGGTCTTCCTGGAAAGAGTGGTGATGTCGGCCTCCCAGGTCCTCCAGGAGTCGCTGTAAGTGCAATGTCCAGTGCCTCAAAAAATAAAAATCTTGGAACAGCTGATTTATTTTCTGTAAAAAACACGTGTTAATATTTCCCAAACACTCTTCAACTGCCTAGTGCTGGCGGTCAGCAAAGGGAGTGTGAACCTTGAGAGAGAACATTTTCTTATCTGATAGAGAAATTTCCCATTAGTTAGGAAGACAGAAACACCCGCTGGACTCACTTGTCTTTGTTTGTTTGTTAATAAGTACTCGATAGTTTGTTAAAGATAACTAAGACAGAAGTTCTGTTGATATAAACTGAAGTGAATGGAGCTGTGCCAATTTAAACCAACTAAGGATTACTGGAGAAATTTACAATTTCCTTTGGCAGTTTACCAGTGCTAAAGTTAGGTAACCTGGGTGCTGTATTAGGCATGTCTATGAAGGTAGTCTTTCTGCTGGAATTTTAGCTGATGATAAGAGAGGAAAGATGGAAAGAATCGTAGCATGAGCTCGCAGAGGTACTGGCCTCAAGAATTCACAATGCCTCTTGAATGCAACAGTATGAGCATGGATGAGTTTGACAAGATGGCTTCCCCCTTTAGAAGTGGCACATAGCAGTGCTTCCCTGTCTACCTGCTCCTTCTGTGAAAGCTAGCAGAGCTAGCCTAGAGTAGCAATTTCATTTAGGGCAGCACAAGGAGTGCCATTATGTGATCTCTTCCTCCATCCTCCAGTGACTTACTCACACAGTTGAGTCCCTTGTGTATTGGAAAGACAGCCATAAAGCAACTTGTGAATGTCTTGGGAAGTTTTAATATTTTTGATTTTTTTATACTACTTTCACAGTAGACTTAATGTTGCAGACCTTATTCATTGTAAAAAAAACAAAAAACAAAACAAAACCTTTGACTTTAATAGTTTTGTGAGAGTACAGTCAGCAAGATCAGAAGGGTCTGATAGTTACAGGACAAAAGCTCAGTGGTGCGAATGGTTCACTTTTATGTTTTCATTTTTGTCTAATTTTGTGGCTTAGAATATATGTGGCATTTTAATTACAATATGCATATGTTAAGAATTCTTTTATGTGCTAGAATGATGTTGATGAATTTTGTGTTGCTTTTTTGTTTCCTTCCAGGGTCCTCCTGGTGAAAAAGGAGAGGCGGGATCTCCAGGTCCATCTGGCTTCCAGGTACTGTTCATTTCTTTTATTGCTTCCAATGCAATTTTTTAAAACAAGCTAACAAATAACGAAGTAGAACTTAAATATTTCAGTTAGGACTTGTTTTCTCATGTTTTGAAGTGAGAAAGGTCAACCAAGATCTTCATGTAAGTTAGCTAATCAATATCTGGCAAGCCTGACTGACACCACGAAGAATGATGATGGATCAATGGGTTATCTATATCTGAATCTCTGGCTTTCCAGTTACACCTTCCTCATTTGCAAAATATTAGATACAATTACAGAATTAGTTCTGTGTCAACATTTTCTCTGACTTTGGAGAATGCACAATTTAGGTTGGAAATCTTCAGTTAAAATAAATAGCTCTCAGGACAGTTGTTCGGATTCTGCTTTTCTCTAAATCACCATGAAATATCAATCATATATAGATATTTCTATCTAGGTGTATATATAAAATATTTATTTATGAAGTGGTGTCTTTAATTTAAACAGGGATTACCCGGTACTGCAGGTCCATCTGGAGAGAGCGGAAAGCCTGGAGAACCAGTAAGTTGTCCTTTCATTTTTTGGAAATCAAGAAATCAAAACACGAATATAAGAACAGCAATTCCTTTCAGGCCCCCTTTTCAGATGCAAAACACCTTACACATAGAGGAATCTGTATTTTTGTGTTCTGGGAAGCTGTGATCCATCACAGGGTCTTTGTGCCTCACCACTGAAGGCCTTATTGAGAGTGGGTGGGTTGGACGGATGCAACTAGAAGGTTGGGGATTTGTTCAGTGTATCCATGATAGCGAATCTATTGGCCAACCCCCTATCAGAGTATGAAGGGGGTGGAGCAGATACCGTGGTTACTGAAATCATGATGAAATCTGTCATACTGTGGGCACATGTGAGCTAACAGTGCTGATACAATTGCCTCATCTCCCTTTTCTACCCCAGAGATACCACCTGAAAACACGCCCTATGACAGCACTCTTAAACCTGAGGAGGCCACTATATTTTGACATCCATCTCTGGAAGTACCATCTTCTTGAAAATGGTATTTCCCAGAATTAGATCATAATAGGAGCCAAACAGAGGTAGTTTGTATGATCACTATCAGGGGTAAAATGTGAAGGAAATGAGATGCCAAACACCATTTTTTTGAGATAGGTTTACTGTGTAAAATGTAAAGTGTATGAGTTAATAATATTTCTTGAATTGTAAACAGGGACAAAGAGGTGAAAATGGAGCCCCTGGACTCCCGGGTACTAAGGTAAGCATTGCAACAATATTTCCATGATTAAATATTTGAAGGAGAGAAGGTAAATAAATGCAGAACCATGATACAGGCCTTGTGAACAAAGAACTAATGCATGTTTCTTTATGGCAGGGTGAAAATGGTCTCCCAGGTGAACGTGGTCCACAAGGTCCTCAAGGTTCTCCTGGAGCAAGAGGTGGAACAGGTCCTCCTGGCCTAGAAGGTGGCAAGGTACCTACTTTATGCTCAAACCCTTCACTGTGTTACATGAATCATTCAGGTTCATTCAGGTGCACCTTCAAATTTTATCTATATTTCCTCATTACACTTCTAGGGTCCTGCTGGTGCACCTGGCCCTCCTGGTAGTGCAGGGCCACCTGGTTTGCAAGGAATGCCAGGAGAGAGAGGAGGTAACGGAAATCCTGGACCCAAAGGAGAGAAGGTGACAACTCTTTTTCTCCTACTAATTTTGTGAAATTACCATTTTAGCTTCATACCAAGCAGTAGGTTTGTGCTGAGTACCTACAGTTCCTACTGACTTCAGTGAGAGCTAAAGACACACAGCATCTATGCAAATCAGGACACATATTTTAAAAGGACTACAGTATGTGAAAATGCTGAAGGATTCTCGGCTGGGTGTAAATCGGCATAGCGCCACTGAAGCCAATGAAGTGATGCCAATTCGCACCGAAGGAGGATCTGGCCCATTGTTTCTGCTCCTGTGTGTTGAATGGATTTTGAGTTTTACAACTGATTTCCATGTCTGACTGTGTATTCTTAGGCAGAATGTTATACTGAATGCCAGATTTGCATTGCCACAGTTAGAAAATCCAGTTATCACAATACCCTTGTGACACTTTCCTCAGTAATTTTCTAAATCCCTTTTGATTTATGTTTGACAGGGAGAGCCCGGTGGCAGAGGTAGTGATGGCTTCTCTGGTAAAGATGGACCAAGGGTGAGTATAACCTCTCATAATGTATGAACATTCTTATTACATGTGACTCAGCTTCAACAGCTGTTGAAGAGTCATTTACAATGCAAGTAAAGTTCTAATGAATGACCATCATTTTGACGTGAACAGCAAACCTCATCATGTCCAGGGGAAATGATTTTGTTAGTGCAAGTTTATATTTGTAAAAAAATTAGATTTAATCCTTGTTCTCATAACTTACATTTTTGATCGTGCAGGAAGATGATATAGTATAAAATAGACTCTTGAAGCTTACAGATAAATAAGATTCAGTTACTTGGGGAAAACATCCAGATAAAAGTTGCTGCTGGCTTCTCCAAAGTTAGCTGGCTGAAGAGGACAAGACTGAGGTGTGGGGGAGAGGAGTATATAAAGACTTTATGAAGAATACTTCTACAGCATGTTATATATAGTAACTAGATGAAATATGCAACTTCATCCAGCACATGAAATAAACCAGGCATGGGGCATCAACATGCTGAGTCACAATAAATATAAAAAACTAGTTTATGTGAAAGTTATGGTTGCCAAGGTATGTTAGATTTTCAGCATTAATAATGTACTCATTTGATTGTGCCCACTGAACTCAGTGCCAATAATAGAGTATAAAAATGGATGATGGACTATGGAATCATGAGAAATTTGGTAAATTGTCTGGAGGTAAAGCTAAGTGAATGGGTAACTTCCAGTGTACCAATGGAAAGACTCCCATTGACTTCAATGGACATTGAATCAGGCCCTATATTGGGAAAACAAAGTCAAGATGTGTACGCAATCCATCAAAGTGTCAATGTAATAGAGAAGTAGATTATCTGCTATTAAAATAACTAAAAAATCATATATATATTGAGAGTGAGATGCAAGTTTTATTGATCACAATACATGAAAATAATACTGTTATTTTCTAATTGTGTAGGGTCCTGCAGGTCCCATTGGGCCCCCAGGTCCAGCTGGCCCACATGGAGATAAGGTACTTTATAACCTTGTGTTGAAATGAGGGCTTTTGTATATACGTCTGAGATTTCCTCCTTAGATGGAGGAATAATTCTTAAACAAACATCTTTCCGTTCTTTCAGGGAGAACCTGGGTCAGCCGGACCCCCTGGTCCTATAGGTGTCCGCGGTGGTCCTGTAAGTGATCGTCCTTTTAGTTCAGTCATAACTCTACTGTAGATTCTATTACCTGGGACAGATTCAGCTCTACAGTTAAGTGATGTCTTCAAGAACAGATGGGGCCTGATTTCAAAAGGTGCTGAGCACCTGCATCTCTTACTGACTTCAGTGAGATTTGTTCGGGCTCAGAACTTCTGAAAATCAGACCACTTATTTTTAAAGCTATGAAAGATACCAGAGAAGTGGGAGAAAGTCTGAGATGCACAGTTTCTTGGTATTTTCATCTCTGGTGGAAAATATCACTAAATAAATAAATAAAATTAAATCCTGAAAGTTTTAAACTATTAGTTTGTTTAATGGCCTAATTTTGTATGTTTTCTATTTTAATAATTAAGTAAACTTTTCAAAATTCACTTATTTTGTGGTTTTCCTTTTCATTTTGATAAAATGGGCCAGATTTTGATCTCAGTTACACCAGGGTGAAACTGGAATAACTGCACTGAGGACTTACGTGGATGTAACTGAGAACAGGATTTGGCACAATGCTGATAATTATCAAGAGTGACATAATTAAACAGTTTGAAAGTATAAAGTTCAGTAACCACATTTTAATTTTATTTCAAGTAGAGGCATGATAGAGTAACATGATCCATGTTCTCCAAAGAGTTCTCACACATGAAGTGTGAAGAATATTTTTCTCATTCTTACATCTAGGATATGTTTCCTTTCTGCAGGGTGATCGAGGTGAACAAGGCCCCCCTGGACCTGCTGGCTTCCCTGGAGCCCCCGTAAGTATAAATACCAAACAAACTTGATACTCAATTTTTATTTTTAATTCATGTTAGTAATAACTGACCATATTCGTGTCCATCTTAGAATGATTTACCAAGCATGGCATGACAAACTATAACTCTATATTCCATTTCTACATTTAATATGTATTTTTAAGTATTTCCCTTGCTTACTTAAATAGCCATACTTCAAGATTCCCATCCCCCTTCCCTATCAAATTCTCTTTAGTGAGATTTAGAGCAAGAGACACCTATCAATACCAGAGTGCAACCAGAGCTGAGTTTCTAAATTGTGTGTCAGCTCCTTAGACACGAGAATCTGGGTCTTGGTTCTGATCTCACATTGGATTTATATTATCCATTGCCTTCAATGGATTTATAACTTATAGCCATGTATTCTTACTTAACAAGTGGATACATCCAAGGAAACTCAACTACCTTCTGTCTCATAGCCCTTTTAACAAAACATAATTTATAAGAATTTATTTGAATACAGGGACAAAATGGGGAACCTGGTGGAAAAGGAGAGAGAGGCCCTGGTGGTGAAAGAGGTGAGCCTGGTCCCGCAGGAGCTGCAGGTCCTCAAGGAGGCCCTGGTGCACCAGTAAGTATTCATTGCTACCCAAATTCAACTTCAAATTTCATTCAGGTGTGAGATCAGTTTGAGCTGTTTGAAATATATAATGAATTGACACATCTTAGAATCTTATCTGTTGTTGGCTGTTTTTCATATCAGGTTACAATATTCTTTTCATTCACTGTAGGGTCCAGCTGGTTCCCAAGGAGCAAAAGGAGAGCGTGGTGCTCCAGGCGGCCCTGTAAGTATTATCCTTTTCTATCAGTAGACAACACTGCTGATTATTATTGGGGCAACAACTCCAGCACGATCTGCAGCAAGCACAGGGCATTGGTGGTCTTGGACTGGCTTTGGCATAACAAACTTCTCCTGCACAGGAGTAGGCTGGAGTAACTAAGCAAAACCATCTATGGCCTACTCCAGGTCACCTGGTATTTTGATCTGAAAGACCTCCTTGACAATTTTTCTTAGACACTGAGATATAGCTGAGATCGTCTAGTGCCAAAAGTTAACATTGGGACTGTATGTTTAGTTATCATGGAAATTTATTCAGCCCTTGCATAAAATGGCTAAATATCACCCAGCATTGCTCTGTTCCTTGCCTAACGCCTTTGCCATGATTTTGAAACCACAGCAGAGATGTATTGTGTTAGGAAACTCAGATACCAATCAAACTTCTGATAGTCCCTCATCCTTTTTCTTTCATGTTTTGTTACCAATGTTTTTAAATTGACCACTACGCTTACTTATGCTTTTCAGGGTACATCTGGTTTCCCAGGTGCTAGAGGCCTGCCTGGTCCCCCTGGTAATAATGTAAGTGTATACTTACCTTGCTGTTATATCAAACTCATATCACTATTACAGTACATTGACATAAATAATACACAAGAAGTATACTGAAATTAAAGTTGTTTCTTTGTCTTAACTTCACAAAAATGGGCTTATCCCCATCTCACTTTGCTTTGGATGGCAATTCTTTCATTTCTTGTCCCGATAGTTCTTGTACTTGCTCCGCCAAAGCTTATTGAACTCAGTGAGGTCTCTCCATTAACTCCAGTAGAGTTTGGATTATTTATTTATCTGTTTATGGTGGTCATAAATGTCCTATTCTCTCTCTTGCTCTTTATGATGCAATAAATGTACAGTTTAGGATCTTGACTTGTAGTGTTTTCTTTTCACCCAAAGCCTCCTTTTTTTCTAACAGTGATTTTAAATTGTGTTCCATAGATCACAGTTGATCCTTTGGGCCCTTTTTGGTTGCCTGCAGAATGAAACAATTTTAGAACCAAGCAATTAGAGGTAGGGGTATTTGGAAGGAAGATAGTCCATAAGAGCATCATTCCCTTATGGAGGTGGCCCACAATGTGAAGATCAGATAACTGCAAATCTACACTATCCCATTATAATCACTATTTCCTGCATATTACACTTTCCCAAATTTTTGTAGACCATCTCTGTCCCAAGAAAAGCGATTCTATATTACACTTGTTCACACCATATGCACCTTCTTCTACCATAAATACTAGACTATGACTTTGGATTCTTTTTTTTTAAACAAACTGAAAAATTGACATGGCAAAAGTTGGATAAATCAGCTAAATTCCATTTAAAAAATTAGCATTTACCCACAGTTACCATAGTCATACCAAGTGAGAAATGACATAAAAGTTCCTGCTTCCTGTCACACCATGAGATTTTTCTTAACAGATTTTTTATGTCTTTTCAATATTCCATAGTCACAGACAGACCCAAATCAGAGTTCTGCTTAGAACTCTGATTAGAAAATCATGACCATGAGAAGAATATTTATATATAATCCACCCCCAGTAAATACTGGATAATAAAATTCACATTTTTTTGCCCTTATCTAAAGCCCTGTGAAGCCCACAGGAGTATTTCCATTGATTTCAGTGGGTTTTGGATCTGACTGTTTATTGAAAAGATTTCATTGCACACATGTCCCATCTCTTTGATACCGGGCACCCCATTCCAGGGCTATGATACAGTGACAGCAAGAGTACTAGAATCTGTTCTGGGTGGGTGATTCCAGAAATCAACCACTACCATCAATATGTAGGAATCCCTCTGGCAGAGCCCTAGTATAAAAAAATGCAGTTCCACTTCCACCCAAGACTTAAAATATCGAGAGAAAAAAAATCTAGATTTAGGTGAGGGGATAGGCTTTTATATAAAAGCAGGCCAGCCTTTCCAAATATAGGTGCCTAAAGCGAGGCACCTAAGTCCGCATTTAGACACCAAAACAAGTGATGTATTTTGCATAGGTGCTGAGCTCTCACAGCTCTCACTTACTTTAATGGAAAATGATCTGTGTTAAATTGATCATGATGAAGTAGTATATAGTGTTGACTCATCTAGTATATTTGATATTGTATCTGAGTCATCTCTCTTTAAAATTCATTTATAGGGCAATCCAGGGCCACCTGGTAATGTTGGAGCTCCTGGAAAGGATGGTGGTCCTGGTCCAGCGGGTAGCACTGGTCCGGCTGGTAGCCCTGGAGGTGCTGGTCCTAAAGGTGAGCCTGGCCAACCAGGTGAAAAAGGTTCACCAGGTTCACAAGGAGCAGCGGTAAGTAAATTATTTAGCGGTGTTCATTAAACCTGTGAATAGGAATTTAATAAGTATGTCATAAACAGAAGATAATGATTCAAAGCCATGTTTTAACTGAGTACCTAACACTTATTTATTTGAAATATTGTTGACAGGGTCCACCAGGTTCACCAGGCCCCTCAGGTATAGCTGGTCAACGTGGTACTGTGGGACTGCCAGGCATTGCTGGCAGATCAGGTAGTCCTGGCCAACCTGGCCAAAAGGTAAATGAAGGCTTATTGATGTAATTTACCCTCAAAGATAATGCAGCTGACATCATGCAGTAAATATCTAATAGAGCTTCAGCCTTTCACAGAATCACAGAAATGTAGAGCTGGAAGGGACCTTGAGATGTTTTCAACTCCAACCCCCTGTTCTGAGGCAGGACCAAGTAAACCTAGACCATCCCTGACAAGTGTTTATCTAATTTGTTCTTAAAAAACCTCCAATGATGGGGATTCCACAATAATCCTTGGAAGCCTATTTCAGAGCTTAATTACCCTTATAATTAGCAAGTTTTTCCTAATATTTAACCTACATCTCCCTTGCTGCAGATTAAGACCATTACTTTTTGTCCTACCTCCACTGGACATAGAGAACATTGATCACAGTCTTCTTTATAACAGCCCTTAACATATTTGAAGACTGCTGTGAGGTCCCCCTTCAGTCTTGTTTTCTCAAGACTAAAGATGCCAGGTCAAGACTAAAGATGCCAGGTTTTTTTTAACCTTTCTTCATAGGTCAAGTTTTCTAAACCTTTTATTATTTTTGTGGCTCTTTTCTGGACTCTCACCAATTTGTCCACATCTCTCCTAATGAGTGGCCCCCAGAATTAGACATAGTTTAATGACAATCCTGAATTCCACATGTAATGAATGTGACAAACTTTCTTGATAATAGGCCAAATCCTGAAGTCCTTATATGGTTTGGATTTAGGCAAATTCCAACTGATGTCAAAGCTGAGTGAAAATTGAGTAGGGACTTCTACATTTGCTCCAGTAGTTAGAGAATGGCATGAACTGTAAAGTTACTATCCAGACTAAATTTCCCCTGTATTGAATGGTACTTGAATCTGGGGTTGTCTTTGATCTCTACTACTAATATTCTTGGATTGTTCTGAGGATTATCTAAAAAGATATGAACATCCTCACACAACTGAAAAACAGAATAATTCACTAGTAAATCTTCATAAAATGCATCAAAACTCTGACACATCATGTCTCCAGTTGTACCACACTTCTCTGTTCTCTTTAACCCATCATTCAATGGAAAGGCCCATGCAATTCATGAGTAGTTCTTCAGTATTAACGTCACTCATTACCAGCTATTCATTTGCTTAATTTTCATTATGTACCTTGCTCAAAAAATATAAAAACATCACTTTCAGACCCTCACAGAAGTTGTTCATCCCACAGCTGTTGGGCCAAATTCTGTTCTTATTTATTCCATTGTAATCAGTGGAGTGGCACTGGATTTTCACCATTGTAGCTCTACTGAAGTTAATTCACTCCTTCCTGGTCAGTGTTTTTGCACAGGACGTTGCAATTGGTTGAGAAGGGGAGGAAAGAAAGTGAGACCAAGAACTGCATAATTTGATGACATTACAAAAAATCAATATGTAATGAACCCATTTCATTTTTCTATTCAGGGTGAAGATGGTAAACCAGGCAGCAATGGTAGCCCAGGAGAACGTGGCGCTCCAGGTCTACAAGGTCCTCCTGGTCTAAGTGGACCAGCTGGAGAATCTGGCAGAGATGTAAGCAGATATTTCAGATTTTCATGCTAGACTGTGAATTATACACAGGCTTGTGTAAGGGGGAACTACAGTGGATTTAGAATCTCTCCCTGAACAGCCTGGTGCATAGGGGAACTGGGCCAACACCATTCTCATTTAAAAGGATGCAGCCAGTTCCCCCTAGTCCAGCCTACCCACTCTGTAGGCCATGGTCCTATCCTAATTGGTGTCCACCAGAGGAACACTCCCTTCACCGTTACAAGCGCAGGGACTGCCACTGTGACAGGTCCTTATAAGGGCTACACAAGGGGGCAATATCAATCTCCTGGCATGCTGTCTTCCTGTAAACCTGCAGAAGGACTGCCTACAACCTGGTCCTCTCTGTGAGGGCTGCATTTAAATCATTTCTGTCTCTCTTCTTCTTTTGAGGCGCATTATCATGATTAAGTCAAAAACATGTTGGCTATGCCATAATGCTGCAAATATTTAAACTTTTACCTCTCCGTGTTTTTCAGGGTAATCCTGGAACAGATGGCTTGCCAGGTCGTGATGGATCCCCAGGAACCAAGGTATCTATGGCATGTATAGATTGCCAATCCCTGAGGTGTGTAGGTATTGATCTGTACTGCACCTGCTATCTCTGCGGCATCAGTGAGGTGTTGGTTGCATATGCACTATGTTGTAATAAATAGATATGTTTCTGATGCTGGCTGTTGTGAATGTCTCTGCAGGGCGATCGTGGTGAAAATGGTGGTCCGGGTGTACCTGGTGCCCCTGGACATCCTGGGCCCCCAGGGAACATTGGTCCAGCTGGAAAAACAGGTGAAAGAGGAAATCCGGTAAGTGCAAACACCACAAAAAGCACCTAGTGTCCATTTTTTATTGTTTTACCGGGTGCAATCTGTTTTATACACTAACAGATAGCACAGGAGTGTGGAAGAGTCAAACTCTGTCTGTCTGTCTGTGGCAGTGAAAGGCTCTGGCTGGGGAGAGGCAGCAGGGAAAGTCTTTCACTGTGGTGGGGAAAGGTTCCAGCAGTAGATACTACACTGCTAAAAATATCAGTGTAGACACAGGAAGGCACTGCTTGGACAAATAGAGAGCCATATAGGGAATATACCCCAGGCATCAGGGGTCTAGGGCACTCTATTCACTTAAGCAGTGCCTCACTGTCTACACTTCTGTTTATACCTGGGCGTGCAATATACTCTACATGCTGCCATAAGTACAGACCTACCAAAATCATAAATAGCTATGCACAATTTAAGCTCAAACCCATTTAGTAGTTTTTGATGCCACATAGTCAATAAGCCAACCAGACTGTCTTGCTTTACAAACTATGCTATGCCTGTACAGCACTAGCAATATTATAATAGCTGAGGGAGTTGCACACTTTGGAAAAGCCCAACCTCTCACCAAATGTTGGTGTTCTACTGTATTAGACCCAAGTGCCTCCTGAGAGGAGCCAAATTCACTTGGATTCAACACCTTGCACATGAGGCCTGGTCTCATGTATCAAAGGGATAGTTTAAGTGGATCTGGTTATCAAGTAGATTTTGGAGTCTTTGTTACCAAATAATATAAGAAACTTATCAATGAAAAGCTAAGCTCAATGACTACATTTGTGGACATTCTCTCTAGTTTCTGACAAGCTCTAGTATTTGCACATACTGTCTCTCTAGAGAAAAGATCATGGCAATTGCATTTGATCATGAATATCTCTCATTCCTTTTTTGTCCCCAGGGTCCTTCTGGTCCCGTTGGCCCTGCCGGTCCTGCTGGTTCTCGTGGTGCTCCAGTAAGTCCCCCTTTAAAGCACTTGGAATATCAGCTCTGCCATTTTCTGGTTTTGACAATTTCTCCTACTTATTTTTATATCCATTTTTATTAATAATCTATTTTTAAAGGGTGCCCAAGGTCCTCGTGGTGACAAAGGTGAAACTGGTGAGCGTGGCAGCAATGGCATTAAGGGTCATAGAGGATTTCCTGGTAACCCAGGTTCCCCTGGTCCCCCTGTAAGTATTATGTTGAATTTTATACTAAGGCTATAATTCTTCTTTCAATTACAGTGATTCAGTGCCAGGTAACAGAAAAAGAATTCAGCTATATGTAATTTACTAAAGCATCTGTGTATTTTAAATATTAAAGGCAATCAGTAGTCTTGATCCCCATGTTACACCAAGGGGAGACAAGGATGAATAAAGATCTGAATGGATTCATTAGGTTCCTAAGACACAAAACTGTTTAGGGTAAATAATATTCACGTTTATGTTCTGTGTCTTTCTCAGAATCCTAGTGTTTTTCTCTTGAGATTTTCAAAGATGCCTGTGGGATTTGGCTGCCCAGTTTTGGCTAGAAATTAATGGCAACTGGATATCCAAATCCTTAATTTCGGTTTGAAATATACCACCCTTAGAGTCTGAAAACTGGATTTTTTGTTGCCCTGCAATTTGTGTAGTCAGGGCCGGCTCTAGGTTTTTTGCTGCCCCAAGCAAAAAAAAAGCAAAAAAAAATGTTGGCTGCCCCCCGTCCCAGCCCTGGGCTCCTCGCCGCACCCCCCTGCCTCCCCAGCCCTGGGCTCTCACCCTCCCCCGACCCGCACCCCCCTGCCGCCCCAGCCCTGGGCTCTCACCCCCCCAACCGCACCCCCCTGCCACCCCAGCTCTGGGCTCTCCCCCACACACACACACACACCCTGCCGCCCCAGCTCTGGGTTCCCCCTACCCCCGCACCATTGACCCCCACACACACCTCCTGCCGCCCCAGCCCTGGGCTCTCTCCCACCCCCACTTGCACCCTCCTTCCGCCGCAGCCCTGGGTCACTGGTAACTCGCTCCCAGGGCAGGTCATTCAGCAGGAATTTTAGATGTGCACAGAACACAGACAGGATTGGTTCCCATATGGTTACAGAACTGCAGTAAAGTGGAACAATTTTCAGCTTGTGTGATTGGAGGATATCTGGATGCATATTATAAGACTGTCCTACATAAATGAGGAAAAGTTGAGGTGCCTTTATTATTCTTTTGTTCCACTCTTTCTTTCTATGGGGAATTTGCCAATGCAATATCACTGTCTTCCTTTTAAACAAACAAAAAAAAGGCAATGGCTGCTGAAAATAGCAATTCAAGTCCTAATAACCACTGGGAAGCATTTCTTGCTCAATTTTATCCTACTTTTTCTACAGCAAGTTACAGTGGATCAGTATATTTGATTTGGGAGAAATGAAGTAACAGCTGCCCAAACTGAGCTTGAGCACTCCTGAATTTTGAGGTGTTCAAATTACAGGTGCTGGGGGGGCGGGCGGCTGTGGCTCTGCGGGGGAGCACGGCAGCATATATGCAGCAGCGTATCTGGCGCTGCGCGAAGCCAGACACGCTGGTCTGAGTGGCACGGTAAGGGGGTTGGGGGGTTGGATGGGGAGGAGGTTTGGGGGGGCAGTCAGGGGCAGGGAGAAGGGGGGGTTAGATGGGTCAGGGGTTTCGGGGGGGCAGTCAGGGGACAGGCAGCGGTTGGATAGGCATGGGAGTCCCAAGGGTTTGTCAGGGGACAGGTAGGGGGTGGGGTCCTAGGAGGGGAAGTTGGGGGGGTCTCAGGAGGGGGCAGTTGGGGACAAGGACCAGTGGGGCTTAGATATGGGGTGCGGTCCTGGGGGGCAGTTGGGGCAGGTGTCTGGGGAGGGGGTGATCAGGGGACAGGGAGCAGGGGGGTTGGATGGGTTGGGGTTTCTGTGGGGGGCAGTCGGAGGGAGTGGATGGTGGCAGGGTGGGGCTACCCTCCCTCCCCGTGGAGTGTCCTATTTTTTGAATGTTAAAATATGGAATCCCTACTCACAGTGCAGCTCTCCATTCACTGCAGCATGAGGTCTCAGCTTCCTCACTCCCTCCCCCTCTTTCCTGTTGGTAGTGGCCAAGGGAATGCTGGGAAATGTAGTTCTTTCCCTGCTCCAGGGCTGGCTCTATAGGCAGGGAGCTAACCAAGGAACTACAGCTCCCAGGGCCCCCTGTTGGTTCTCAGCTCCCTGCCGCCCCTGCAAATAGGCTGCCCCAAGCACGTGCTTGCTTTGCTGGTGCCTAGAGCCGCCCCTGTGTGTAGTCATTTACGCCAGGCAAAGTGAGTATGAAATGCTACCAGATCAGAACTCTAGTATTTTACATGCACTGTGCACTCATTTTGTATTTTTATATTAATGACTACACAAGGCACAGGGCAACAAATAATCCAACCCTAAGTATTTATAATTGTCTTCACATCAGCCATATCATTCTGCATGAGAGAGATTTGTATTCAAAGGATTTTTAACTGTACAGCTTCCACTGACTCTAATGAGAATCTAGAGACCAAATCCCATGCAATGCTCTAAAAACTAATGGGTTATGTAATGTCATAGCAATGCCACATCTGTAATGGCAGACATGTAAAATCTAAATGTATAAAGGCCGATTAAAAAGCCATTAACCAAAATTTGCCATACTGTGGCATCTGATTTGCGGCTCACTACTCTCATGGACAGAGTGAAATCTTAACAGAGTTCCATTAAATTACATTTTTCAATAGGAAGCTATTAGCCCTATATGGTTTATTCCTTGGCAATTCATCAATAAATAAATGGTCATTTACTCTTAATTTATTTAAAATAATTGATGTTTGCAGAATCCATAAAAAAAATCCTGCAAATACCATAGTCAGCACTGCAGTTGTAACACCGACAGACCCCGGTCGTCGGGATCAAACTTGGGGCCTCTGGAGCTTAGTGCATGAGCCTCTACTACATGAGCTAAAAGCCAACTGGCTGTCAGCTAAGGCTGTAGAGCAGACTCATTTTATCGCTCTTTCTAAGTGGTCTCAGTGCCACTAGATGGAACAGAACACCACACCCAGAAGGTGTGTGGGTTACACAGTGATAGCTGTGTATTGCAATAGAATTAGGGCTTTATCCAAAGCCCACAGAAGTCAATGGGAAGACTCCCATTGGGCACTGGACGAGGCCTTATACTTTTTCTGATTAGAGAATGACAGGGTTTTATTTGTCATATCTGAGCTTGAAAAATCTTTTTTCAATTATTTGCTTTACATAAAAAAATCTTTAAAGTTATCTATTAAAATGATTACGCAAGGAGCATCACTGAGATTCCTGCTGCATCCAGTAGATTAGAGAATATTTATGACCCATCTTCTTTTAACAGGGTGCTCTGGGTCCACAAGGTGCAAATGGAAGTCCCGGAGCTATGGGAGCGAGAGTAAGTAACATTTCCTGATTAACCAAATCCAACTGTGTTAGAACGAATGTTTTGAACTAAAAATATGGCAACTGTCAAATGGCAAGAGCTAAAGAACCAGGAAGCACATGATAATTCATAAGAATTAAATGCTTTAAAATACTTTCTAACATTTGAAATAATTCATAAATAACATACAGGATCTTTTACATTTAACCATGTTTGTCATTGTTCTAGGGTCCCCCTGGCCCATCTGGTCCTCCCGGAAAGGATGGTACGAGTGGTTACCCAGGCCCCATAGGTCCTCCAGGCCCTCGTGGTAATCGAGGTGAAAGTGGCTCTGCGGTAAGTGGACAGCAAGCACAACTTTCATTGAACAAACAACTCCTTTTTAATGATACATCTATCATTAAAAAGATGAACCTTTCTAACATTGTGCATGCTGGAATTACAGCTAATGTAGAATGTACCTACCCACTTAGGGCTGGGTACTGAGCACCAGGGGTTTGATCCAAGTCCACTGAACTCAATGGAGACATTTCATTCATTAGGCTTTTTGCTCAGGCCCCAGATAAGCACCAACATTTCCCATTTAATATGGGAGAGCAAAATCTCCTCTTCTCTTTAAAGCCTTGACAACTCTGCAGGCTAGTGTGAAGTAGAGGCAGGACTATAGCCTATTTTCCCCATTTGGGGAGGCTAGCACTCTCAGTTTAGTTCATTGCTTTTGTTCCTTAGCCATATTGTGGCTGCTCTGCGTACATGAGCTCCCAGCATCATCTTCATCTCTACAACTCAACTTGAACAAGGTTGCCCACAATTTGACACTGAATTAGGAAGAGGATGGGCTAAACTGGTCCCAGAGTGGCTAACAGTAGAGCTGAGTGAAAACAAAGCAATAAAGTTTTTTCTGTAACTAGCATTGTCCTTAGCTTTATATTTATGGTCCATACAGTAATTGTGTGGACTTGGGTCTGAGCCTACAATCCTGACTCAGCATTATATTCTTTATTTCCTAGGGTTCACCTGGCCATCCAGGTCCCATGGGTCCCCCTGGACTTCCTGGGGCTCCTGGTCCATGCTGTGGGGGAGGTGAGGGCATTGGCTCTTTAACTGGTGACAAAGGACAATCATACCTCTACGGAGACCAGCCATCTGAAAACAAGATCAATATGAACGACATCTTATCTTCAATGAAATCAATTAACAACCAAATCGAAAACATCGTTAGCCCTGATGGCTCCCGGAAGAACCCAGCTCGTAACTGCAGAGACCTGAAATTCTGCCATCCCGAACTCAACAGCGGTATGTTAGATTTTTTGTTTGCAATATTGGTAACACCACCTGGATCTTGAATTGTTCTGTTTGCAGTGTGACTGTATTCTGAAAAACGAATATGGACCAATTGCATTGTCATGGCTGGCTTCTCATAGGTCAATAAAAGACTGTTTTCTAACTGCCAGTACCACAAAGTAAAGCTGGAATCTGAAGGTCCATGCGTCTGACGAAGTGGGCATTCACCCACCAAAGCTTATGCTCCAACACATCTGTTAGTCTTTAAGGTGCCACAGGACTCTTTGTTGCTTTTTACAGATCCAGACTAACACGGCTACCCCTCTGATACTTAAGGTCCATTTTGGTTCTCTTTCTTGTACATCATCATTAGTAATTGAGGGTCTGATCCAAAGCCCAGTGATATCACTGGAAAGATTCCTATTGGTTTCAGTGGAATTTGCTCAGGCCCAAAGTCACAACAGGGCAAATCAGGCTCTGAGTGAGAACTGTGCAACCATATTTTCTTCAGATTATACCCTTGGTTTCACCCATGAAACTTTGTTGCTCCTCTACAGGCGTCAGAATTTTCTTTTTTTGAGTAGAACTACAATTTAATTGAATTTTGGGGGTGGGATGGGGGATGTGGGAAAGCCTCACTGAAAGAGATTTCTTATACGATGCATTATTTAATGCTCTCCCAATAATATAACATGACGTTTTACACCAAAAGCCAAAATATGAACCCAGCATGCAATGCTTCTCTTTATATCTGAAAAGTTGTTTTTGTAATTATCAAATTGAATCAAAACTTTATTTTCTAACTTATTTGGTTCTCTGATGGACAATAAATAACAAATGGTGTAAAAACAGTGACATAAAATCTAATTACAAAAAGATTACGCTTAATCAAAAGTTTTAGAGATGCTGTAATCTTTATCATGATCTGTTTTCCATAAAGTCCAAACACACAAAAATAAGCATTCTTCAAAATGCAGAAATCTGCTGAAAAATAATTGTCGTCATCCACTTACAGCATACCATTCCAAGAGCATAAAGTGTGGTAAATATATCTTCCATTATAATAACTTAAATACAAACTCGTGGAGAAATGAAACTATTGACATTTGAATGCTGACTTTAAAATCAAATTCACCATCAGCATATGAAGGGTGCAACCCCACTGTCATCAGTGGAGTCTTAGGCCAATAACAAATTTGCCCCCAAATTATTTGGGCCCTGATAGAACAAAGTACTTAGTAAAGTGTGATTTTTAAGCCCGGTCCAGGTCCATTGACTTCAATAAGACTTCTCAGATGCTTACAGTTAAATATCTGCTTAAGTCCTTTGCTGGCTGGGGGCCATAAATAACACAATTTTAAAGAAAGCTAGAATTTCTCTGACAAGTCATCTTAGAGCATTTGAATCAGCTCATACATTGTCTCTTTGTGCCATCTTAATTCTTCTCCTGGCTTGTCTTCAGTCAAATTTTCCATACCTCTTACTCAATGCAAGCATTTGAGACAGACATAAACTTTAGAACATATGGGTAAAATAATCAAATTCCTCTCCTGATTTTCTGCTATTTTATGTCCCTCTAGGAGAGTACTGGATTGATCCTAACCAAGGTTGCAAGATGGATGCTATAAAAGCATACTGTAATATGGAAACTGGTGAGACATGCATCAGTGCTAATCCCAGCAGTGTGCCACGTAAAAACTGGTGGACCGGTTCAGGAGCTGAAAAGAAACACATCTGGTTTGGAGAGTCTATGAATGGTGGTTTCCAGGTAAGAAATATTAGATCTTCTCAATGAATAGCCTAGACAGCAATTCTTATATTTCATTCACATCACAGATAAGTAATACCATGGAATTAATTTAAACTAGTAAATATATCAGCAGTTAAAAATAAAGATTGTTTTGTGTGTTGTATCACAGTTCAGCTATGGAGATCCAGAGCTTCCAGAAGATGTTTCAGATGTGCAGATGGCATTCCTTAGATTGCTCTCTAGCCGTGCCTCTCAGAATATCACTTATCACTGCAAGAACAGCATTGCTTACATGGATCAGGCCAGTGGAAACGTTAAGAAAGCTCTGAAACTGATGAGTTCCACTGAGACCGACTTCAAGGCTGAAGGAAACAGCAAATTTACATATGCCGTTCTGGAAGATGGCTGTACTGTAAGTACACAGAATTTTTGTAAGATAGCACCACGTATAAGGCTAGATGGGATCCTAGCCATGCAGGGATACAGGAAAGGGAAAGACTCCCTCACCCATGGCCAGGGCTGGACAGAGTTGCAGCTGTGATGCTCAGATATCTCAGACAATGCACTCCAGAAGCTTGAGCAAGGTCGGACAGGGAATAGGTGGAACCAGTGCTGGTGCAGGTTTAGGTGGAGCCAACTGAGCTAGTTCACGTGGTTGGCCACTTGTGGGTATAGCATACTCTTTGCCAGCACAACCAAGGAATAGGCACTGGCAGGCATTATGCCACCTCCTGGGACCATGCTCTCTGCACTGGCCCTTGCTACAGGCTACATGCTAAAAACAGCTTTGAAATCAACAGTACTGTTTGTGGAGTAAGATGCTATTCAAAACTGTGCTTTACAAAGGTCTTCTTTTAGAGGCTCCCTTTTCTTTCTCCTTTCATCCAAGTCATGGTGCTGAAATTCTGATCCCACCCCAAACCTAATTCTATTCAATCCAAAGTGGAGCTGTTTGTTGAACTAAGAATTGATTATTAAGGGCTCGATTGTCCCAACCATGCAAAAATTCACATGGGAGAAAAAAAACCGCACTAAGACAGAGGTGGCCTATAGACAATTTCATTTCCTTTTGAGGTAGGTGCTTTGGCCTATGTTTCCAGGTAGCACTGTTCTATGACCATATATAGCTGGAGGGTACTGATGCCATGAAGTCTACTCATTGATGGGTTCACTTGAGGCAGGACTGACATCATCCAGGATAAAGCTACAATTGAGGGAACTCCCGCTACTCTTTGGCAGTATGCTCAGCGCTGGCAGGTACCAGGAACAGGCAGGGAACCATCTGATAGCAACATGCAGGCAGCTAGTCTAAGCCTGTTGCAACAGCAAGTGATGAATGGCAGTTATGATCAAGCATGCCAGTTGAAGTGAATAACAGCAGTCTGTTTAGACAGCAGAAACTAATGCACCACAGCTTACACAATTGCTGGTCACTGCTGCAGTGATCTGAGGTCTCGATGGCACAAAAGATACCCACAGAAAGTGCAACTTAAAGTAATATGAGCCTGCTTTACATTGCAACCTTTTGCCGTCGTTTTTTCGCATGCATGAGACAAATGTGAAGTGCAGCTTATTTTTTCCTGTTTCCCTTTCCCGTGCTTACTAGCACATTTGTGCTCATTGCACAAGGATGGGGGAGCATTTCTCAATGCTAGGCTGGAGCACTGCAGTGCCCCCTAGCCGCTCTAAGCTACACAGACACCACGTATGCCAGAGATCTGGTCACGGAGCTGTAGCCATCTGCTGATTGCCCCTTACCTGGCCCAGCATTCAAACACTAATTAAGAGCTATTCTAAACATATGCCTTTCCAAGAAGATAATGATTAGGGAAATGCAGTACTTTGAATGGTGCAGGGGATGGAACATCAGTGTGAGGAACAACAGGTGTGAAATTAAGTGAAATTAATTAACAACAGGTGTGAATAACCTCCTTGTAAAACTATACTGGATTTCTCTAAACTGATTTTCTCTTCAATTTTTGCAGAAGCACACTGGAGAATGGGGTAAAACAGTCTTTGAATACAGAACACGCAAGACAATGAGGTTGCCTGTGGTGGATATTGCTCCCATGGATATTGGTGGTCCTGATCAGGAATTTGGTGTGGACATTGGCCCAGTCTGTTTCTTATAAAATCAAGGATACTGCTTTTTCTAAAACCCCAGCAAGCAAATCCACACTCTCCTTTTGTTTTAACCTTGTCAACTGGTACAGGTGCTCAACTGTATCCCAGTTATTTATTTACAAATTTTCTGGAAAAAAAAGGTAATTCAACAGAGGGTTAATTGTTTTTAATTACACAAAGTACAATAAAAATGCTTTTTGCTTTTTTTAACCAAATTCCATCTTCAAAACATGTCTCCGTGGTGCTATAATAAAACTTCAACACTCAACAAAACAATACTGTCTTCTATTAGTTGAATGAAAGCCAATTTACACAGCACTGATTGTTCCCAGCATCAAAGTTTACCCTAAGACGCCGTCCGTAAAGATAGAAAGACTTCCCCGTTTCAACTACCTCAACATGGACAGAAACTGGGATGAGTTTGATGAGTTACAGCAAAAAACAAACAGCCCAATCAAAATACATTGGAACCATTGGTTAATTCAAGGGAATTAGGTATACAATTGTATTTTTCTTTACTGATTAGTTTGAACACCCTAATGTTACAATCCAACAATAAAATTATGGTATTCTGTTTTCACGGGTGCTTCTATACTTTCCTGTCATGGCTGGTCAAGACCACTAAAATTAGGGAAGTGTAAAAGACTAATGTGATGGTGCTAATGTATTTTTCACTTCTAAATCTGCAAGACAGGTTTATTGACTTGCATTAAAGGATTAACAACAATTGTAAATGTCTCCTGTCAGAGATTAGGATTGGCATACTATTTTTGAGGTCATTCTCCCTTCACTCTGTAAAAGTCAAAGATGCAGAATTGTGAGCTTCTTTCATCACATTAACACATTTGTAGTGTTGAAGGTTAACCATCTTTGTAAGCTTTTATATTGTTGTTGGTCTTTTCCTTACAGAGACACATAATAAATATCTTAATAAAACTCCTCATTTTTCACCTTCACTATTTTTATCCTTCCCTCCCAACTTTACTAACAGGGAAGCAAAGTCATAACCGAGTTTTGCCAGAAAAAGGACTGAGTAATCTTTCCTCAAGCAAAATTGCAGGATTTCACCCAGTGAGTTTACAATTTAGTACTAAGAAATGGTACCTGCTGCACTAAAGTATTTTTTTACTTAGAAACTTAAAGTTAAAACTATCTGTGATCAGCTTTTTGGACTATCATTCTATAGGGTCAGTACTGAAAACCTGTTACACATGACAGACAGAAATGTCTGGTACTTTGGAAAATGATTTGTTCATGTCACAAATCCTTTGGAAGCTGCACTGAAACATGTAAATTCTGTGCAGTTGAAATTCAACCCCATGCTGAGGGCCAGCATAATGTCTTTACTGCAAATGCATGGAATATAAGCAGGGGATAGGCTTTATAGCGGTCAAGACTGAATTTTACCTCGGTAGAAATGGAGGGGTTGGGAAATGAGTGCAGAAAGCTGCTGTAGAGGTGGTAATGACTGACAGTAAAATTTTGACTATCACACAGCATAGTACAGTCAACAATGATGCTCATTTGAATAGCGCACAGACCAGCAAAATGACTGTCATAATCTGACACATCTATATATTTTGTGCTGCTGAAGAGAACTTCTGCCTAGAAATCTGGACGAAACAACATTGATATAGCACATTATATCCCTTTTGTCTACTCTTAACTATTCATATTAATATTAGAGTTACCATTACTTTTAACATCAAAAATAAATGGTCTGATAGACTGTGACTTGGATTAGGTGCCTGTGCAAGGGAATAAGAACACCTTCCAAATCTCTACATGTGCTACTTAGCACTTGGGTCCAAGTGTTTAGGAATAAGTGGGGCTACTCACCAGTTTATTGCTTCCCTGGAGCAGGTGATGGGGTGGATCCACCTTCCCCAAGGCAGAACAACTGAATCCGAACATGATGGATAGTAATATGGCTTCTGGTATAGGTCAGCAGTAAGTTACTAGCCATCACCAGTAAAAGAGAAAGCAAAGGAGGAAATCAGACGTACAAGTAGGTCTCTGCATCACAGTAGTGTCTAGTGTACTACCCTTTGCTCAGGGCTGTTCCTAAAGGCACAAATCAATGTAGGGTGGGATTTTCTAAAGTGATGAGCATTAGCCTACCATAGCTCCATTAATTTCAATGGGCATAGAATTGAGGCAATGCTGGCTGCTTTTGAAAATCCTGCATTACTGGGTACTTTTAACATTTTCTGCAACTATTAAACCACTTATAAGGGAACCGACTTCTGCTATGTGAAATTACTTCAGTGGGTTGCATTGACATAACTCATGGCAGTACTTGGACTATTACTCTTAAAGATGTTTGGTTAACATAAGAAATGTATTTGGCATATTCATTTGTCACTATGAATCTACAAATGACCAGTTCCATTTAAAAAGGAAGAAGCTTTTGAATTAAAACAATTAGACAACCAAATAGGATAGCTTTGAAGGCACGTAATTCATAGTTTTTAAAAGTTTAACCTTTTTTGAATGAGTACCCGATGTATATATTGTTTTCTACTAAAGTCATTTAGATTTATAGCACTAGCTATCACCCTATATAGGAAGCAATAATTGGCATATCAGAACACAAGGAAAATACTAAAAACAAAAATAGCAATACCTGTGATTAATAGCAGATATAGGTCTTCTCAGGAAAGCTGTACCGATTTTTGTCATTTGTGAAACATTTAATTACATCTTTATGCTATTGGGGTAGCATAAAAACACTAGTGTGCTAAACCTAGTAGCCTTAGCCTATTGGGAAGGAACATGTTTTTGGAGCCTTACTCTCTGAGCTGGAATCTTGTAAACCTGGCTGGCAATGATGTTGTCAGTATGCCCTTGGCCTTTGTCATCACTACAGTCTGGCTGCTCCTATATTCACTGCTAGTCTGGCTCTAAGAAGACAGAACCAGGTCTGGCCAGATAGAAGAATTAAGTAATACAGTCACAGTGAATCAAAATACAAACTAGGGGCAGAACCTGTGTTTTTGGAACTGAAGATGTATGGACCCTGTGCATGGAGGAAAGCCTCATGCAGTGTAGTGGCAGGCCACCAGGGGCTTTTCTTACAGCCACAGCCTCCTGGGTGGTTATGGGCAGAGGGGGGGAAGAGGGTTCAAAAAAGAACTAGATAAATTCATGAAGGATAGGTCCATCAATGGCTATTAGCCAGGCTGGGCAGGGATGGTGTCCCTAGTGTCTGTTTGCCAGAAGCTGGGAATAGGCAACAGGGATGGCTCACTTGATGATTACCTGTTCTGTTCATTCCCTCTGAAGCATCTGGCATTGGCCACTGTTGGAAGACAGGATACTGGGCTAGGTGGACCATTGGTCTGAGCCAGTATGGCTGTTCTTATGTAGAATAATGTTTTCAACCCTCAGCTCACAGAGAGCTTCTTCTCTAGTAAGCACAACTGCAATAAGGCGAGAAAGGGACTTTTATCCTCAGATGATCTTGGCCTTTCTTTTCTTACATGTTTAAGTACATTTTAGTGCTTATGAAAGGAGTGGGATAAAGAGAAGTAGAGTATGCACTCTTCTACCCATCAATGGCAGTGCAAACCATGTGTCATTAATAATTCAAAGGTGAGAGGAGATTGTCTCATTACCCATTCACATCTCAATTACTAGCTCCTTACAGACCAGTCCTCACAGCTGGGTTTTTGCCAAGTAACCTGCAGCTCAATGACATGTGCTGCTATCCTCTCCAGCTGCCATTCAACTATAAAGAGCCCTTGGAACTTCTCCTCTCACAAGAGAGGCCCCACAAAAAAGGACCCAACTAAAATGGTCAAGGTTTTTAACCAGGCAATTTGTCATTTTTAATAATTTTGAAACAATTTATATAACTTCATTATTTCACAGTAAATTATCAACATAAACAACACCACATTTTCCCTCCCCAGAAGACCTAACTATTAAAGGATAGTGAGGGTTTGTCATTTACGGGAACGGGGTCCCACAAGTAGTTGTAAGTTTGGAAAGGTCAGCTGAGATTGGGTCTCAGTCCTTATTTGATAGAACAGTTGATCCATAGGGAACAAAAACATCTAAGGTTCATAACTTGGCCAATTGTTCATAATTTGAGAGAGCCTCATGCCTTTATATATGCCAATTCCACTCTATACAATGCCAAAAAAAGGTAGAGCTACAAAGTAGCACAACTATAGCCAATTGCAAAGGCAAAGAACGAATAATAGGGCAAATGAAGTCTGAAATGAAACCTGCTGTATTGATGCATTTTATTCCTGGGAGAATTCTGTGCCACTGCACATGCGCAGAATTCATGTCCTCCCACAGAAAATGATAGGGAAGTAAAGGGAAGCCACGTAGGGAGGACAGGACGGGGCTGGGGACGCTCCTGGGTGTAGTTTGGGGGAGCCATTGCCTTCCCAAACAGAGGTGAGGTGTGAAGGGGACATGCGGAGTTACGTGCCACTGTGCCCCCCCATTTCTGCGAGCGCAGCGCCACCCAGCTGGAGGAGGATGCCACTCAGACACCACCTCGTGGGTCCTAGTGGCAGTCGTGCTCCCCTTCTGCGTGCTGGGAGCCATCCTGTTTTCTGTACAACAGTGAGTCTCCATAGTGGGGCAGGGCAAATGGAGGAAGGCGGAGGGAAGAGGCAGTGGGCAATAGAGCCCTGTGCGGATACAAAATTTGTATACGCATCCAATCCACGAGCCGCAAAAATGATCTGCGGCTATCCACGTTATATCTGCATCCTATCCAGGGATTTTCAGGGCTAGAGTGGGTAAGGAAAGGAGGCTGGGAGATGTGAGAGGAGGAGGATAGGGGCAGAGGACAGTGGGGAGAAGGCGGCAAGAGGGAAATTGGGGTGGGAAGCAGGAGCCTGGTATGCAGCTTCCCCTCGGCAGCAGCTGAGGCTCCCCCGTTAAGCAGGCGCATCAAACCCCCACCCCGCTGCACTACCCCAACGAGCCCCCCACACATGGCCCCCCCACCTAGACTCCCCAAGGCCCACTCTCCCAGCACCCAGACCCCGCCACTGAGCTCCCTACACCCAGACTCCCTGCCAAACCCCATCCTCCCAACCCAGACCCCGCCTGCTGAGCCCCAACAACCTTCACCCCCTGCAGAGTCCCATTGCCCCTTGACCTGGAAACACCCTACACACACACACAAGCCCATGTGCATCCAGATCCACCACTGAGCCACCCACACCCAGATTTCCCCAACTCTCTTACACAACACCTGGATTTCCCGACACTAAGCCCCTCTACACTTGGATCTTACTGGGATGAGCCTCCCTGCCTACACCTGGTACAGAGGGGCAGGGCCCCGTGGTGTTTCTGGGGCAGGCCCGGCCCTTACATTGGGTCAGGTGCAGCCTCACCGCCCAATCCCTGTCCCCAGGGGAGGACAGCTACAGGGTGATCTCCCACCTCCATCAAGCCAGTGGCCTATGATCCCCACTGCCAGGCCGGAGCATCTACATTTATTTACTGACAAATAAAATTGGCAGCATTTTAAAATATTGTGCTCAGAATTTTTAATTTTGTTGGTTCAGAATTCCCTCAGGAGTAGCAGCGGAACAAAAAACACGGAAATGGTAGCTGCAGATGAGTAGTCACACCAATCTGCTCAGCAAGTGTTACCCAATTTTGGCATCATGTTTCTTAAACCAACAAAACGCTCTTTCACAGCTAAACAACTCAACTACCTGGCACTAGCTAACTTCATCCCCATTAGGGCTCAATCCTGCAAGGTACAAAGCACTCCTAAGTACCAGAGGACATTAAATGACACAGTATATGACTGAGATCATAGCAACAAAATATGTACACTACCTGGATGCTTGCAGTAACACTGAGCCATAGCTTTCTGGATGCTACTTCCCCATCCACTGCCATGTCTAATACCTGTCCAAGTTTGTACCTTAAAGCTGACTCAGAGGGGGGTAGATTGGCTC